AAGTTAATAATAATTGTAATATTCCAGTTATAAACGACATGAATCAAAGATGTGTTGCTGTATTTTAGTGGTAAAAAAATCATAATTATTCTATATATATAATTTACACAGTGCCTGTAAACCGGAGGAGAATGCTGGCATTTCTCCTCCTACTTGAAAGACTACGGAGGGATAGGGCCTGAAAATTAGTTTATTTTGGGGATTGACTGGATGCTCTGACCGGTCCACTTCCTGCCCGGCGCTATGCAACGCCTCGCGTCGCATCGAAAATAGACTTGCATCGGAGCCCAGAGTCCGCGGATTGATCAATTTGGACCAATCCACGGACTTAACGTAACGGCTCCACGGACGTAACGTAACGGCTCCACGGATTGGTCAATTTTGACCAATCCACGGAGGGGTTGTCGTTACGTCACTTGGTTCCCGGAAGAAAAAAATTGAAAAAGAAAATCTCCAACGAGGCGTTCTGGGGCAGCATAGACAGGTCTTTTCTGTGTTAGAGTTTTACTCGCTACAGGGTGTACTTTGAGAGTTTGTTACCCTGCAGACCGTTTACATGCAGAAAAACCTTCATAACACACAAGGGGACGGGTAATAACCGTAAAAGCATGACATGGGACCTTTAACAGAGGCACGAGGATCCTCAGGCAAGCCGCTTCTTTTCATGCAGAACTTATAACTTACACTAAAATGATATAACAAAAACACTTGATGTTGAGAAAAAGAAACATATTACATTAAAACAATACTTTAAAGCCTATTTAAAAGTAGCTGTATCCTTCCCCTTGTTAACTAGAGTTTCTAAACAGGGGTTAAGAAAACTTGATCCTGTATCCAACATCTCTGCGATGCTTTTATAGTTTAAATATTCTATCCATTTATCTCCTGAACACCAGTCTGTGTTAACCAGCTTCAAAAACCTTGTTAAAGGTTAAAGGAAATATACCTGTGAGTTGAAATATGTATACTAAAACCCCAAAACACTGCTGAGATTTGTGAAACAGGTCAATTCGAGAGGGGAAATAACTCTCACCTGTTTTTATTGGTCACTACTTTCAAACAAAGCACCAACCCAATACAAATTAAGATGCTGTACCATGTATTGCTATATATTGAGGATAAAAAAAGGAACTGAAGAAGTAGCGGAAAAAAGATGGGGAGAAATAAAATTGACTTCTCTTTAACACGACAAGGAAGAAGAAATGGAATCCTCTGTTACAAGATGCTGTATATAAGATGTAAACGGTATTGCTTACTATTACTTGTCCCATCAGGGGAGAGTTTAAGTGTCTTGACTGCAGGCATAACCTTTTTTTCATCACAATTTATTACAAGAATAAGAGAAGCACTTCGGAGAGCTCAGACCAGGAAAGTTTTAGCTTTATACAAATGTATTTACCACTTATTCACAGGGATGATCAATTCTGTTTCTGATGGGCAGCACATTCCTGGGTATAACTCTGTGAGAGATTTAGTGTGGCAAGATATGGAGTCAGTCCACTTTTTCAGAGTTACACATGCAAATTGGTTTGTGTTAGCACCGCTGCCAAACTCCTGTTGCACATAATGAAGTCAGAGACGAGCCGTGTCTCATTTTTATGACTCAAAGTTATACCTGCACTGACAGAAAACACTCTGCCCCAACTTGATGGGATGAGAATTGCAATTCAGCTGCACTTCTAGGTCAGGTCATGCAGAATGAATACAGTAAGGGAAATTCAGCACAGTCAATGTTTAAATATGTGATTCAGCCTTTTTTGCATTGACAAATGCATTTAGCTTGAAATCTTGACACATCTGCAAAAGGTTCTCACAACCCTGTTTTTTGTTTGCCTGTGATTAAAAGAATATTTTTGAAAGAGAAAACTGTCTTTTGATTACAATTGGAATAAAGCAAATCCACTTTAAGAAAGTTAAGGCTTTTATTTGATAAAGCAATTGTATTTATGTTATTCTTTAGAAAATAACAGGCTACACTGAAAAAGATGTGTGCTTCGCTATCTTTCTGTATTTGTCTTCGGCCCCCTTTTACTGTAGCCTTATATCACAGCATAGCACAGCAATACATTTTAAAAGCACACTTTTCTAACATAAATGGTCTTTCACTCACCATACACAATCATACATATTCAATACTCTATGTCCTCAACCTATGTACGATCTAAACACACATGCATCCCTCCACACACACATGTGAAAGCTATCCATCCCCATTACAAACATTGACACATATCCAGCACCAGTCAATGTCCTGCTCACACAGATCAATAAGCTGTGCTTCAGGCTGTGCTTACATACCACCGAGTGTCACTAGAGCAGAAAACTCCCCAACCTGCTTACATAATCTCATTTCAATTGACATGGCTAGCAACATGTACTGTATGCACATGTGTGTCCGTGTCAACTTGAAAATCAACTTCACCATTAAATCGCTTTTTTTCATGGCTATCTGTGTCAACAGGATGGTAGCTGAGAGCCCTCCCTGACAGGTGGTCTCTGTGTGGCACACAGGTGTGTTTAGACTGTAAGGTTGAGCCCATTTTGAGCAGAAATCTTTGACCTTCGTGTCGTTAATTCTTGCATGCTGCTACAGCCGACTGTATGGCTGTTGCAGTAAGTGATGTATCAATAAGGAAAAGGGGTGTGCGGGTCCAATGCCCAACAGTTACAGCTCATAGTTTAACTTCATCTATAAAACATTCATATCTGTTTTCAATTGAGCTTGAGTAGAGTCCCTAGGTATACTTTATTTATGATGCTGGCAACAGCAGTGTGCCGGCGCTGAAAAATGAATGAGACATTTGGAAAGACCTTCCTGTGAATCAGCATTTCCCCTCCTCCAGAGCCCTATAATATCTATACGGCGCTGCCCTCCTCCATTCACCGTAAAACAGGACAAGGACAGCAAATAAGCAGTTAGGCTTTTCTGTGAGTGTCTCAAACACATACAGTATAACAGCAGCATCCCCCAGTTCATCAAGGTCTCAGCAGCAGCTCTCTGTGTTGAATTTCAATGTAGTAGATCTTTTTTTGTGGCGAGATGCCTGGATGCTGGCAGGTCCTTCCCTGGTGGGCCAGTGCAGACTGATGGATATGCTGGAGGCACTTTCCCCTCAAAGGTGTTTATGCGAAACGCTGTGACTGAACAACAGGGAGAAGAACCATGTACATCCCAAGGCATAGCTTCCTGCTGTAGCCAACCAGCATATTACTGGAGGCAACTTCAGTAATGCTGACAGCTAAGCTTGTACCGTTTTACCTGAACTACTTCATAGTTGCCTGCAGGGAATTTTTTTCTCTCTCACAGGTCAGGCCAAAGGAAGTGTCTTTGCATTAATAGCTATAGTCATATTGGGCTTTCATTACTATTACTAACAGGCCAATGTGGCGGTGCTTTTTCTGACAATGGAATGGGGGGGGAAAAAATCACAATTTGGGTAAAACTGCTCACAACAGATGGGGGTAGAATTTAATTTGAAAGTCTTGACTTTGATGTGAGCAATTGTTTCTTTTCAAATGTAAATGTGTTTACATTTTTATATAATTTGATTGTGGACATGCTGTGCTGATTTTTCACATGTGGTGCTTCTTAAGATTAATGTAAAAGGAAGGGAAATGGTAAAAATAAGAAATGTGGTCACAAAAATGTTTATAAAACCTCTCACCAAATCACTCTCACTTCTTGTTAAGAGGGGTAGTGCAAGCTGTATGTGCTTATCAGCCAAAAAGATCAGAATACTTTTTTCAAGACAATTGTTCATGGTGATGTCACTAAAAACACATGATCACAAATAACCTCACACGAAAGTTAGTTTATCACATTATTAAGATGTGCAAATAAAAAGTAATGGTCTTTCTTCACACACTGTTATGTGATCATGAGTATTTTTGTATCAATGCCTTCAGACAGCCTTCTGGGTGCAACACCTCCCATTAAACACATGGGGGCAGCAGCGCTCCACTGACAGGAGTGAGCTACTACACGTGTAATTTCGTTATTAAATTCATATTCATTTATTGTTTCCATAGTTTTAAAGAATCTACTTGATTTTATTTAGTCATTCATGGTGTAGATAGTTGGTGTTTCAATGTTTTCATATGCCTTTATTTAAAGCTCTTTGAATTTGCCTTAACAAATCACGTGATTCATAATGGAATGTGTGTGCGTAAATTACACTGGCAAGCACATGCAGTCACGTGTGCGAATGACGTATAGTTCTAGTTAATTGTGACGTATTTAGAATTCGAAAACACCAAAGGTAATTCTAGGGTTCTGGAAGGAAAGTGAAGTTCCATTTCATCTTCTGAACCCTCAACAGGCAGCAGACGACAGAAAGTTATATTAATCCTAGATATATAGATAGATATTCATTTATCTCCGACTACATTTACAGCCAGACTTCTTCATCAAACAGTATTACTTTTTATTATTTTCTATCATTGGAACCTTTGAAAAAGCACATTTACAGCTAATAGTAGTTTAACAGTGGTGTTAACTTAAACCAAGGGCAACTACAATATTTGGAGAAGTTGTTTACAGTAGTAAAAGCTCTTTTGTTTGGTTTACAGTCATGTCACGGAGAAGCTCACGATTAGACTCCCAAGGATACTACAACAATGAAGGACTACCAATAATTTGCTACAAGGAACACCTGAACAGGTAAGCTAAGGTTTGTGTGTGTGTGTGTGTGTGTGTGTGTGCGTGTGTGCGTGTGTGTGTGTGTGTGTGTGTGTGTGTGTGTGTGTGTGTGTGTGTGTGTGTGTGTGTGTGTGTGCGCGTGTGTGTGTGTGTGTGTGTGCGCGCGTGTGTGTGTGTGTGTCTACAATTTTCATTATAGATCTTCAGACCTTTAACTTTTTATTTTATTTAAATTACATTCAGGGTTTTTAAGAGCAGATGTTTGAGGAGCTCTTCATGCAGTAGTAGAGCAGAGTCCACAAGCTACCTAGAAAGACACAAAACCAGCACCAGAAACATAAATAATAACATAATAACAAACATGGACAAGAACAGAAAGAGTTACAAAGACAGCAAGCAAATGAGTGACTATGACAGCAACAAAATGAGCGACTATCGCAGCATATTCAACCAAAATATGTTTGGCTTTCTCTCCTTCATACTCGTCCTGTGTTTTGGTAAGTGTAACAAACAACTCTATCAACTTTAGTTCCTCAGCTTTTTACTTTTATATTTTCTGTCTTTTGAAGAACAAATGTCTCTGACCTGTTTCTTCTATTCTTTGTGTCTCTCCATCTACCAGGATGTGCATGCAGAAAAGAGTTTCTCAGATTAAACAAAGACACAATGACCAACTTCAAGGGTCAAGGTAAGACATTAAAATCATATTTATCATTTTCATCAGCAAACAAACTAGTGACAGTGACAGCAACACAATTAGCAACAGAAACATTGACAGCTTCTTAAACACTTTCATATTCTCTATCTTTTGAAAATCGTGAAAAAAACGGTTTCTTTTATGCTTTGTTTCCCTCCATCCTTTAGTAAACACATTAAGTGAAGAGATTCTCAGATTAAACAAAGTCCTGAACTCCCTGCAACCGGTGGCGGACACTATGCCCAACTTCGCTCTGGAGAGTCAACGTAAGACATTTAAATCATATGTATCATTTTCATCTGTTAGATTGTAATATCCAAAAATATTTTTAACTTTGAGAACGATTGTATCTCACTCACTTTGTGCGTGTGTTTTTTCTGTGCAGAGGCAAGAGTTTTACTTGATCAGTCTTCACAAACGTACTCCAAACGAAGAAGCTGCGCCTATCTTTTTGGAATGTTTTGTAAACGACCTGTACACCCAAGGACAGTCCTTCAGGTAGGATCTACAAACACCAAAACAAATGGCAAATTATAGAAAGGTTTGGGATTTTTAAGCAACCTACCATCTCAACTCTATTTTTATACTCTTTCTTCACTCAGGGAGGCTCACCCCCGGCTGTAGGACGGTGCTGGCCCTTTGAAGGTGGGCGGGGGCATTTATTCATCGCCCTGTCACACCCAGTCTACATCAGCCATGTGACACTAGGTCACATTTCAAAGAACTTGTCCCCAACTGGCATCATTCCTAGCGCCCCAAAGACGTTTTCTGTCTATGTAAGTCACAAATGTATCATTGTTACATTACAGATGTTGAGTTTAAGTGGGAACAATAAGGTGTTCAACTGTGTCTCTATATTCCTCTCTTGCAGGGCATGAATACTTTAGATGACAAAGGAACCTATCTAGGAACCTTTCTGTATGATCAGGACGGGGACGCAACACAAACTTTTGAGCTACCTGTGAGTATTACACTATGCAATACACACATGTCCATTCTTCTTTTTCACACACAAGCTGAAATATTAAAGGAGTAACAGTTTTGTCATTAAATAATTTGTTTCCCATACTGTCAGTTTTTACTCAACAAGCTGTTTCTGCTCTTTTCTCACATCTCTTAGGATCATGGAAAAGTTGTCTTCAAATACGTGAAACTACAAGTTGAGAGCAACTGGGGTCACCCCGACTACACCTGTCTGTACAACTTCAGAGTTCACGGAAAGCTGGCAGAAGTTACAGTTTTCTAGACTCAATCCATCTGTGAACAATAGGGGTACGGTACCGGCGGGGGGGGAAGGAGCAGGCAGAGGAGGAGGAGGAGGAGGAGGAGGAGGAGGAGGAGGAGGAGGAGAGGAGGAACAGAGGAGGAGGAGGAGCAGAGGAGGCGCAGAGGAGGAACAGAGGAGGAGGAGAAGGAGGAGGAGGAGAGGACCAGAGGAGGAGGAGAGGAGGACCACAGGAGGAGGAGAGAGGAACACAGGAGGAGGAGGAGGAGAGGAGGAGGAGAGGTAGGAGGAGGAGAGGAGAGGAGAACCAGAGGAGGAGAGGAGGAACAGAGGAGGAGGTAGGAGAGGAGGAGGAGGAGGAACAGAGGAGGACCACAGGAGGAGGAGAGGAGGAACAGAGGAGGAGGAGGAGGACCACCTATGAGGAGGAGAGGAGGAACCAGAGGAGTAGGAGGAGGAGAGTATTAGGAGGGAGGAGTATGATGACCCATCATTAGTATTATAGTAATCAAACACATTATTAGATATATTAACACATTATTATTATATTATTATTATCATTATATTATTAACATATTATTATATTATTATTATTACCACATTATTATTATATTATTACCATATTATTATTATTACCATATTATTATTATATTATTATTATTATATTATTAACATGATGTTAAAAATACCACCAATTTATAACTCAAGAACGGATGGACGAAATAATTTTTTTTAAATTGCGATAGCATAAAATGAGCTTCGGACGCAAAACTTGGGAGACACGTCACAGCCCACGACCTTTTCGAGAATGTAAAAGAAAAACTTAATTTTTCAAAAAAACTGCTCACTAGCGCCCCCTATTGTGTGGTAGTCACATATAGTTTCTCAGAACTTCACAACATTTTTGCAAACTCCTCCTAGGGGAATGATCGGAAAAATTCCAATCCAGGACAACTTCAGCCCCTATCCAATATGATGCTAAATTGTGAAGCCAAATTTTGATAGCTCAATCGTGGAGGTCGTAAGCCAACAGCGAATACACCATTTTTGACGATTTACATGTCACAAATTAATCCAAACTACTCGCATACAGTTTTACCGATATTCACGAAACGCTGTATATACATTGCTCTTATGAATCTGGACATATTTCAAATTGCCTTCCATTAGCCCCGCCCCCCAGAAAGTCGGCAATTTTCAAAAATGTGTGTTTTTCATGCATTTTCAGCACATTTATGCAAACTCCTCCTAGGGAAATGTTCGGGAAAATTCCAATCCAGGACAAGTTAAGCGCATATCCAATGTCATGCTACATTGAGAAGGAATAGTCTTTCGCTCGAACGGGGAGCTCGTAGGCTAACGGACAATGTACAATTTTTGACCATTTATATGTCAGATAAGCTACTGAGACCTGCCTGTCTGCCTGCCACATCAACTCTCACACACACACACAAACAAACACACACACACACACACACACACACACACACACACACACACACACACACACACTCACCTACTGTTAGTCCAACAACGCCCTTTGCTGGCGGCATATTCATTACAACAGACACCTATACACTCCACAACACACACCTACTCGCTGTACAACACACACATATAAAGCATATAATAAATATCAGGGTACAGCCCTTGTATATTTTATTATGTGAAGCACTATATGGTTTCATGAAAAATATCTACTGTTTTTTATTTGTAGATATCTCCTAAAGTCTACAAATAAAGTGTGAAATGTAGGCCTGTTACATATCTTATTGAGCGATATATATTATACACACTGTTCTGCTTTCTGCACTGACCTCAGCAGCTGTTCTCACTGTAAACATCACGTCACAATGAAAGCAGTTGTATTATATTATAAAAATAGCCTAACATCCAGGGGATTAGTGAGTAAACAAACGGTAAAGGGTAGAAAGTCTGATGCACATTTGATCATCTTAAATAACTTATAATCACAACGGGAACAGTTTGCAGAGCTGTGCTTCGTTGACATAAGTCCAGCCATGCGTCACGCCTCTTTTAAACATCACTGTTGGCTGAAATCGACTCCGGAGAATACATCAGTGTACCCTCGGTTATAGCTCCTCCAGAGAGACTCCTCTCTCCTCTCTCCTCTGTCCTCTCTCCTCTAAATCAGTGTATCCTTGGTTACGGCTCCTCCAGAGAGACTCCTCGATAATCGATCCTCGACGAGCCTTTAGAGAATTTTTTTTCCTTCGAGACGGCGCGCCGACATCCGTTTCCGGGTCGCTGCCGGAGGACCTGGGAGTCTGGGACGCGAAAATTATAGAAATGACAAACGGCTCATTTCGGAGGACTCACGCGCGTCGGCTTGACGCCGGGACGACCGGCGACCCTCCCCGACAGGCGCACGGACGCGAGAGCCCGCTCATCACTGCGCGCACTTCTGTGACCGCAGTTTTAATTATTATTATTATTATTATTATATTATTAACATATATTATTATTATTATAATTATATTATTAACATATTATTATTATTATTATTATTATTATTATTATTATTATTATTATTATTATTATTATCATTATTATTATTATTATTATTATTATTATTATTATATTATTAACATATTATTCTTAAGTCTTAATTATCTTAAGTGCTTTGACAAAAAATCCATACAAAAATGTCATCTGTGGAAGCCGTAATACTGTAAAAAGTACGACCAATCATTTTAGCCGGCCCGGCTAAAATAACCATGGATGTATAATAAGAACTGGATAAAGCGTGGGAGGCGGGGCCTCATTCATTCCTATGAGAGTTGCTCATTCGCGCATGATGATAAAATGGCCCAACTTTTGAGAGAGCGAAACGTCACAGATTACCCGGCATGCCTGAGAAGTACCCGTATGTGCGCAACTTTAACCATGCCCCCCAAAATGCTCGTTCACATCAAGCACGTCAATTTGCGTACACGTAACAGCACCGCACGTTCATGACAGCATGGTAATGTTTGTTATGATAGATTTGATATTAACGAGGCGGCAGTTAGCAGCTAGCGGTTAGCTAGTAATTATGCTAATTTACACATCAATCGTTATGTACTTTTATATTACGCTGTAACAGGATCTAGTGATATCCAAGCAACAGAGCTTCATTTAGCATGAAATAATGATTGCATATATATATATATATATACACAGTGCAATAAGCTTCTTAGTGCAATAAGAAGCTACAGGGACGTTAATCTACGTCGGTAATATTAACTTTATTTAATACAACATTTATGGTACAAGATTTAATCATACAGCCCATGTAGTATAATATTTTACAAATGATGAATTACAGCAAACATGTGCAATATATCCATTATTACAGCTCCGTGGGCTGGCAGTAAGGCGATATGGGTCCGTTCTTATCGTGCATCCATGGGTAAAGATAAACGCATGTAGTGCTGAACACGTAACACGAACGTGCCGGGCGGCACATTTTACAACTTGAGGAACGAATGTTTTTAATAAGGGCTATACAAGTGTTCATACTGGGTAGTTTATTTAGTTTAAAAAAAATTATCCAACGATTTACAGACCACTCTTTCCCCATGTAAGTCAATGGGAAAAAGTGTTTCCGGGCCTGGCAACCAAAAGGAAGTGTAGTACCGCCGTTTGGCCAGCACGAATATTTTCATCAGAGTCCGGCGCACTTCCTGGGGGCTTGGCCCAGACGAGAGAAGGTACACGGGCAAGGCCAGGCAGGAAACATGTGACTTATCAGTAACTTTAGACATCGTAACACAATTTTAAACGAGATTTTATTGTAGATTATACATTTTACTGATGCCAATTATATAATATTTACCTTGTTCATTAAAAATAAAAATAAAAATATATATGTTTTTTAAAATATATTTTTTATTTTTATTTTTATTTTTATTTTTTAATATGGGAAGAGGTGGGGCGGCGCCCCTAGCGCCCCTATGGACCGGCCGCCACTGGTACTAGAGTGTAGGAATACTCTGTTACAAGTAAAAGTCCTGCATTCAAAAGGTTTCTCAAGTAAAAGTACAAAAGTATTGGCATCAAAATATACTTAAAGTATCAAAAGTAAAAGTACTATGCAGATTGCGTCTTCTCAGAATATTATGTAGCCTATTATATGTTTCAATTATAATGATTGATGCAATAAAGTGTTTATCAAAGGTGCAGCTATAGTTTTAATGACTTTGTATTCAGTGTATGTGTTACACAATCACAACATATATATTGTATTCGATGTTTTGTCAGTGGAATGAGACAACTGAAGTAAGTAGATTAAATGGAAACGTTAAAAGAAAACAGTTTGGGATTGATGCTCCTTGCTGCTCTCCTCCAGGAGGAGGCGCTGCAGGACAAACACACAGAAGTGGTTTGTGAAGGTTTCCATGTGAAGAACCAAATAAATGTAGAGAGATGAAGCTGCTGTAACATGTAAACACATTGTTGTTGAGTGTGTGTGTTGTCCCAGGTGTGTGTTCAGAGTGTATAAAGACATGGGTCCCGCTGTATTGCTCAGGCTTTACTACAGCGTCTATTCACAGGCGCGATCCCACTACTGAGCGGCACTGGGGCTTTGACCTGCTCCGTGTCCGACCTGGGCCGGTGCCCCCCTCCATAGACGACCTGGTGGTCCCGGGCTCCCCCAGGAGCACCATATCGATACCGAACTTAGTGCGGACATCTGTTTGGCAATATAAAATATGTTACATTATCATATATTCAACTAAACCAAACATCATGTAAAATGTCTTTTAATAAGTATCTTTGATACTTTCGGACATTTTTATAGTTATTCTTATCGCCTACTTTATCGCAGTGCTTTCGTTGCCATTGCCGGTACGGCTGTGTAACACATTAAAAGGCTCAGCTGGAGCTATTGTAACCTTCAAATACAGATAAGCTAAGTAAGGTCAGAAAAAACCACAAGTTAACCTTCATCGAAATGCAGTTCAATCTTAATTTTTCAAAAAATAAATCCTAACCGTTTTTATCCATAAAGTATTTTTTCTCATTTATATCTTGTTATTCATATTTGAATAATATGACTTAAGATAAGAGTTACTTTTGAAGTATGGTTGACCTTCATACTTCAAACATTACAGCTTTGGCTCAATTATAAGAGTTAGGTTTGATAAAAGCAACACAGCTGGTCTTGAAGACATTAAATAACGCACATAAGCAAAAATAATATACTGCTTTACCTTAATGTTTCCAACATAATGAGTTCGACAGCAGCACAATGAAACACACAGCATTAATTGTACACCAATACCATTTATGATCAAGTCCATTGTATGATAGCGAACATAATTAACAAAGGAGCAAACGTTTAACATAAAACATGATTCACATACTCTCATGTGCTTATATGTCTTTGACAAAGTATTTTCACGAGATACATTTAAAGCTCACAATATCCAGTTTATAATATGTTTATTGAGTTACAATGGACCATATTCACAACAATTCACAGTTAGCAGGTTCCTAACTGAATTAGGACAACAAGAGACAAAACACAAACATTTTAACCGAAAGACACAGTTGGTTCATTTATATTTCATAGTTTCTAAACTTCTGCAGCAGACTAGATGGGGAGTCAGTGGCCCAACGGAAACGCCGATGGCAGTAATCACCTGAGCAAGGAATAGAAAAGTCAGTCAGTTTTACATAGTTTAATACAGTCAGAGCAATACACACTCTTGGGTGATACATTACAATTAATGGAGTATAGGAACAGTTGAGATACCCAGGCGAGTAAACTCTGCACTCTGGAATGATGCTAAAAAACTGGATAACATGAATGTAAAGTCAAACTGTTTAAGAATTACTAGACTATTTGATATTACTATCCCTCCTTATTTAAAGGTATTACCTACAGTGGATGACAGTCATCCTAATTTGGAGGAAACAGACAGGAGTACCAGTAAGAAACCTAAGCAATAAACTGGTGTGGATAGGGGCATCAGGAACAAAATAAATGTTGCCAGCTAAACAAATAAATATCAGTTTAGGTGTATGCTATATTTAGAATATTTCCATCTCTTTACTTGCAGTCAGGCAGCCCTTTCAGACGGGGATCTAAAGTAGTTATTTAAGCTATTCAAAAGCCACCAAACTCCATTCATTTAAATGTAAGTTGCAGGTCTACCCCTAACTTGTTCAGATACTTTGTTTGTTTTTTTGCGGGAATTTAGTGGTCACACAACTGTAGATGCAGTAGTAGACTCCTGTATTGTGTGGTAAAATGGCTGTTTTTGAAAATGGAATCTGGTGGCTCTTAAAAAATCATAGATAATTGCTTTAGTTTGTGTCTGTTTTGCTGTTTCACAGTAAGGTAAAGAGGTGAACATATTCTACATATATTGTACAGTTAAACTAATGCTGATTTTAGGTGGGCCTGCCCTGAACATTGCTTAGCTTCCGTGCTGGTACTCCTGTCTGTTTCTCCAAAGTGGGGGCGTGCTGACAGCCATCTCTATAATACACTGACTCTTGTTAAGTACCTCAACCCCAATCCCTTTGAGCATTATGTGACTACTAAACTAAAAATGCTAAATGCAATGTTGCAAACTATAATTGTTTTTGCCCTGCCGATACATTAAAAGAGATAGGGTTTCGATACGTTTCATTGGAGAACATTTCACAATTCACTCACTTGCGGATGACCTGGCTTCATAAGGAGGGATCCTCTGTTCTTCTGGCTCAGTCTGAAGGTCCTCTGCTTGGGAAGCGACAGGGATTTCTGCATTTGAGGCCTCCAACATTGGTTCCTTCTTACCTCTCACAGCCCAGTGCATTGACTGCAAACACATAACCCAAATGTGTTGGCTTTCAAAGTTAAACAGATAACACAATACTTTTTTACTCCTCTACAAGAGTCAAGACATTACATACAGTTTTCACAGAGTCATTCAGGGCCTGCCAGTCATGAAATGGAATAGCAACTCCACTTCTTCTCCAAAGGTCATAGTTTTTTCTTTTGGCTTCATTGCATAAAACCTCTTTGGCTTCCTGGAGCTTTTGAAAATCAGCCACTGTCCAAAAGAAAGAAAACAACAGGTTATGAGATGGAACATTATGCGAACCCAATTAGTTATGTTTGCATGCAGATGAAAGAAGCCCTACATTAACATATGTTGCTTTGAAGTCAGAAAGAAGCATTAAAAGGCAGGTTTGTAAGGTATGTTGTAAGAAATGTAATCAAAATAAAAGTTGTGTTAATCTTGGCTTTGCTTATGGCTTATATAATGATAAAAGTGTGTATGCATATACCTTTCTTTTTTTATTTGTCACCATTTGAAAATGTCTAACAGTGATTCACATGTGTACCTGCTGTTGGACTGTCTAGGTGTTTGTCTGGGTGACATGCCAAGGCTCGGATCTTGTACTCATTGAGAATCTGTTCAGTCTGCAAGGGAAAATGTTGAATAAAAAACATGAACATCTAAATATTTGAAATTGGGGAATAAGTCTATTATTTTATTTTCCAGCGACAGTAAGCCCAGAGTAAAAACACATGAATATACACGCATTATTTTTCCCTTTTCATTTATTTTGATACATTAAAAAAATATCGATAATTTAATGTAACTCGATATTGTCATTGCAGTTACTCTACTGATAACGCTGTTGTAAGCATCACGTTCGCATGGTAAAGAATACATTAAGAACTATAAATACAGTGACACAGCGTACTCAGACCCTGATGACGCACGAACAGATCCTGTGACATCTTTTGCTGAAGCATCAACAGGTCTGTGTTGAATCAGACTAACCTCTGGTGCATACATCATTCATGAATCCAAAATATCAACAGTTTACAAGTTACTTATCATTTGCGGATTACCATCATTCTACGGTACCTTTCACTTCTGAACATTTGAACCAGTAGGTTTTGGTTTGTTGATTCAAACATCATAATTTCACCCAGCAAATAGACTGGTCCTTAAAGCCCCTGTCTAGAATTTACCGAAGACAATTCATCGCATCCTAATAACCCGTAGTAATCCTCCAAGTCCTCTGGTTTGCTGTTCAGAATAGCCTCCATAAAAATGTAATAAGAAATGTGAAGATTTTTGTTGTTGTCACGGAGAAGCTCTGCTCTCTTCGATCACAGATGTTCGGTTCAAGGACTGCTGGTGGGCTCCCCCTCGCTGCTGCTGTGGGTCACACACTGAGTATATTCTTAAAGTTCAACTTGCTATTACTTTTCAGCTAACTTTGGATAATTAACCAATAAACTGCCAGATGGTTAAAATTGTCAATGAAGATCTATCCTGAGTTGTGTGGAAAAGTGTCCCTTTACCACATGACGTATGCTGCATTCAAGTGTCTAAACGTAAGCTCCTCACTCAGCTAGAAATTTCGAATGACGAATAAAAAGGCATGTTTTGTTCAGTATGCAGACACTGTCTTCAGTAGGCCTATATGGCACAAATTATATGTTACTGTGTGAAAAACTTTGTGGATGTTTTGGATGATTGTGCTATCATACCACATGGTATACATATGAGTCAAAATGAAAATGGTAAATTTGCAAGATGCATGTAGCCAAGGTGAGGTTGTGATTACAAAATACACATGTGATACAATAGTATAATAATATATTAATAGTAGTAGTATTCACTTATCCAAATAGTAGTATTAGTAGGCTATCCGAAAAATTGTATTAGTAGGCTATCCACATATTTGTGTCCAATTAGCCAAGTATTACTATTAGAATCCGAATATCAGTTTTCAGTTATCCGAATAGTAGTATTACTATCCTAATATCAGTTTCCAATTATTACAAGGACGTTTTAAATCAATTACGCATTTTCCCTCTGCCTTTTTTCATACAGTGTGTGAAGGCAGCAACATTTTGTTATGGTTTTACGTCATCGACGTAAAAAGGGGAAGTTCCAGCCGTGATTACTGGTGGAGAATGAGTCACGTGCGCTATGCAAATGAGCCAGCTGTCGGAGAGGAAGGATCTGCTCAGCGGCTCTGCGGGCTGAAGATGGCGGACGAAGAGACTCGTCTCGGAGCGGCCTTTTCGGGCGCCTCAGATATGGAAGAACCTGCCGCTAAAAGGTCGAAAATCAGTCCAGTAATTTACCATGGAGTTAATGGTGATAAAGCAGATCAATTATCATGCGTCTCCGGGGCCACCGAGAGCTGGGAGGCGGCGATGGATTGTGCTCAGCCCGCGGAGAAGGAAGCGAAGCCGGTGATGGCGGTAGAGCAGGCCCCAGCAGAGCCAGGCGGAGACAACAATGGCCTGGGACTCAAACCAGCAGTGAAATTAGACGACAGCGCTGTACTGGGGACAACTGAGGAGGATGCTGGTATGTAAAGAGACGGACATTTAACAACGTTTTATGTTTTTACGCGACTCAAAGTTGCCAGAGCTTGTTTTACCAACTTAACGGGTGGGTTTGAAACAAATGATAAGTTAGCGTTATTCCCGTCTGAAGTTAGTTAACTTAGCTAGCTTACTTGGTAAAGGTGTGTGGGCGTTGACAGCTTTGTACTATGAACTTACTTCTCAAAACGATACGTTTCACTTTTCTTTGTCAAAACTGAAAGAGGAAACTGTCTGTGGCACGCATTGTTGGTATTTCACGTATTCACTTATTCCTTCACTGTACTTGACTATGATAGCCACTTAGCATTTGTTAGCCGGTTTAACTTATATATTTTCTATTGACGTTCACTTAGGTTCCCACACTTACGTTGTTGCCATGGGTAATGGTTGTAAATGATCATAGCGGTTATTAGAGATAGACGCCACTTATCTCTAGTTTTAATTTTACAAGCTTCTCCATTCTCAGTTTTCCTCGGACATGACGACCTCCCCTCTAACGGTCTGGCTGTCACACCGGACCACAACAACGAAGACGATGACAGATCGTCACACGCAAGCTCCAGCGACTGGGCACCGCGACCGCAAATAGGTAACTAGTTAGGTGAATTTAGGGACAATCTTTGCCTTTGAACTATCATCTAACATTTTGATTTAGTTGTACAAATAGTAAGTCGTTCAAACTACTTTCATACCTCTCATACTGAGATGTTGTATTTCCCGGCCAGGTTCCTACGCGTTCATCCAGCAACACATCAGAGAGACAGATCCGAGGACCATTTTGAGAGATTTGCTGCCTGAGACTGAACTCCCAGCAGATTTAGACGACATGACATTGTGGCAGATCATCATCAACATCTCAGAACCTCCGAAAAGAAAAAAACGAAAGGATATTAACACCTTAGAAGATGTGGTCAGGCTACTCCATGAAAGTAAAAGGATCCTTGTGCTGACTGGTGCAGGGGTATGTATTTACAGTATTATAATACAGATGTTCTGTTTGAACTACCTGCTGGACTGAATACATAGTGCCAATGTTCATGATATTAAGTCAGTATGCATGTATGGTTTTCTTGCAGGTGTCGGTGTCATGTGGAATACCAGACTTTCGCTCCAGAGATGGTATTTATGCACGGCTTGCTGTAGATTTCCCTGATCTTCCAGACCCTCAAGCTATGTTTGACATTGAATACTTCAGAAGGGACCCAAGACCCTTTTTCAAGTTTGCTAAGGTTTGTGTATTGCCCCCACCTGCTTTTGTGCAAATCTAAATTGAAATTAGAATGATGTAATAATATAATAAAATGTGTTTAAAAGTATGCATTAGTATTGTGTACAAATTAATCATCACGTACATGTTTGCAAGGTGCTACAGAGAGTCTTGTGTTTACATTGTGTTTTAAAATAGGATTCAGAATATTTGAAATACTTTCTAAAACTTTTTATTTAGACAACTTTTTGAGGCCTCATTAAACCCATCACTTATATTCATCGGGGGGGAACTTGTCTTTTTTTGCTACTTTTGCTGCTTTTGTATTCACTTAACCTTAAAAGTACCAGTTTTCCACCAAGACTAAGATCAACCAAACCTAATTGATAACAAACATTTAAGGATATAGCGAGCTTTGATCTCATAATGCATTTCCCTTTTTTTTTTCAGGAGATCTACCCCGGTCAGTTTCAGCCGTCGCCTTGTCACAAATTCATATCTATGATGGATAAGCAGAAGAAGCTGCTGCGCAACTACACCCAAAACATTGATACATTAGAACAAGTGGCTGGAGTTCAGAGGATTATCCAGTGTCACGGTAAGTCTGAACTAATAAACAGATCTTGTTTATATTGATATAGTTTGTCATGTTGAAAGTCACTAATAATCTTTTTTTTCTCAGGGTCGTTTGCAACTGCTTCCTGTCTCGTCTGTAAACACAAAGTGGATTGTGAAGCTGTAAGGGAAGACATCTTTAACCAGGTATTTATTTATGAGGAACTGATCTGATACCACATGTAAACAATGCAACAACATTTCATGGTTATTGCATGAAAATACTCTGCAGGCATCTTCCATGTGGAATCTTGCAGGGCTCGAAGAAGTGGATCTGAGTACAGTTCCTTTGTATCAAATCTTGTTTGCTATACGCTTGATGTCGACACTGGTTCTAAAATGAGATAAAATAAATAAATGTATTTTCACTGCAGATTCAACAGGTTAAACAAATAACCAAATGTATTGCTCCATTGCTTGGAAGTCCATCCCTGCAGTAAAAATTGGTTATTTAGATTCAACACAAGTAACTTGATGCTAGCAAAGTTGCCAAGATTAATGGTGGAAACATTTATTAGTCCACTTCTCATGGTCAAATGCAGAAATGTTATGCTCATAAAGAAATGCATTTATTTATTTGTTTTAAAATGTGTATTTTGTTTTGAATGCTATTAACATACATTCATCCTGCAGGTTGTCCCTCGTTGTCCACGTTGTCCAGATATTCCCCTGGCAATCATGAAACCTGACATCGTCTTCTTTGGAGAGAATCTTCCAGAAATGTTTCACAGAGCCATGAAGCAGGATAAAGACGAGGTGGACCTCTTGATTGTCATCGGCTCCTCGCTTAAAGTCCGACCAGTTGCCCTTATCCCAAGTATGTCTTGATCTGATGAAAGTTTTCAATTGTGCCTTCAATAAAACCAAACATACAATAAGTAACTGTTTTTTCTTTGTCCCATCCAGACTCCATTCCTCATGAAGTGCCTCAGGTCCTGATCAACAGGGAGCAGCTTCCTCACCTCAACTTTGACGTGGAGCTGCTCGGAGACTGCGACGTCATCGTCAACGAGCTCTGTCACCGGTTGGGTGGAGATTTTGAGCAGCTCTGCTTCAACACTTTAAGACTGACGGAGACCACAGATAAACCCCCGCGGCTACCGGAACAGCCACCAAGTGAGGCCTTGCCTGCTTCCAGCGACGCAGCTCAGGAGGAACAGAAGCAGCACAGTACAGACTCAGTAACTAAGCCTTCAGAGGAGACACACAGTCCGAATGTCACAGATACTGCCGGTAATAATGTCACACCTCCAGAGCCTTGTCCAAATGCCCAGTGTCCCAGTGAGGAGACGGCTGAGCCTTCAGAGTTACCGGCAGAAGACGTGCCAAAAGAAGAGGCCGCTGAAGTAAAGAGCCACACCTCCAACCTGGAATTCCGAAGACGATGCTGGATGAGTCGGATCAACAGAAGTCCGATCAGCAAACGCCTTGAGAGTAAGCTAAAGACTACAGCAGAGATTAGACTGCTTACTATAATAAGTATATTTTTTCATGTATTAGAAATTGAGACGTACATGTATTTATACATAGGTTTAAATACAACCTAATAATCACAATTATTGCCAATTAGGTTTACACATCCCAAGTTTCTAGCTCTACTTTGTTGTGGTACATACATAAACACAGAAGGAGGAATTAAGTTGTAAAATAAGATAAGTTATAGAATAGAAATAATAAATAGAAAGACAAAAATAAAGTTTACTTTGGGGAAGAAAATTGATATATGTGCTGTATATTAGAATTTAAAATGGGAATGCGACTGTTATCAAAACAGTTTTATCCCTGAACATGCGGTTAATACTTATATTAACATGTTAAAATCTTCTCCAGATGTTTATTTCCTCACTTTAAATTGTTCTTGTTATTTCCTTACAGCCGGTCAGTACCTGTTTCAAACACCAAATCACTATATCTTCCACGGGGCGGAGGTTCACTCTGAATCTGAAGACGAGACATCGAGCTCCTGCGGGAGCGACAGCGATGAGTCTGACTGCAGCGCAGACGGGGGGGAAGAAGACAGCGAGCTGGAGGACGCAGACACACTAGCAGCGGATGGAGAGACACGCCTTGGAGACACAATACAACTCACTTTATCCAACGAGGCCGCGTCGGGCGCGCAGACAGACAATACTCCTGAAAAGACTCAGAGCACCGCACACCTTTAAATGTAAAGTCGACAAAGCACTAATTGTCTTTTCGTATATTTTTTGAATCATCAACCTTACTATTATTTTTCATGAAGTTGAAATTGTGTGACAACTTTGTGAATATGCAGCAACTTCTCTTTATTTTGTATTGCTATTTGGCCACATGCATTGTCTGAAACCTCATACTGTATACTACTTACTAAATAGAATGCAGTAGTTATTTTTTTTCTTATTGAAGATTTCTTCCCATTAATCTCATTTGGTATACACATTTTGAGTAATTCTTCTTCTTCTGAGAGATCCACTGTAGACACTAGATTAAGCTTTAATTCCTAAAATGCAGTTATTACAAGCAAAGACTTCCTTTGTCTTACTCCATAGAGGTAACTCAACTGTGGTCTAATGATGTGTTTTCAGAGTTGGTTATGTTACCTTTGGGAAACATGTAAATATGTAAGCCCACTGCCTGCTAAATAGTGGGTTTCACTATGAGTTTCAGACACATACATAAATCTTCAAATGGTTTACTTGCCAATAACGCATTGTCTAACTTGCAATATAAAAGTCAAGCGCTGCCTTTTCATGAGGGTAAATGCTTGGAAGAAAAAAAAGAACAATACTCTTTCATTTCAGACCAAAGAACACTTAGCACCACAGTTATGTTGTCATAAGCTTTGTATGTTAAACCTGTCATTTGAATCTTGGAGAAAAAAATATATAACTATTGAAAAGGTGTTCCTTCCGACATGTGGCAGCTACTTTTTACGGTCAAGCCTCTTATTTTTGTACTCTGATGTGACACATACTCATCAAAGAGTAGATGATAGTTTATATCTGTACAAAGTTATACTAAGTTGTATTATTAAGCCTTAGGAATATATTCAATGAGTTCACATTGAAAATGGCACTTTTGTTCCTTTCTTACATAAGCGGTTTTGTTGCCCATGTCTTTTTTCATAAGATATCAAGTTATAATTCAGAGGGGTCTGCTGCCTGTAAAGATAAAGTGTTGGTACGGAGAAATGTAAGCCAATGTGTTAATGCTCTACACCGACATATTTCACATGCCATTTACAAGGTAGCCTTTTGTTTATGGAAATATGTTTTTTACATCCTTATAGTTATCTTGTCTTGGTTCTCAGTAAAATTGAATGAAAAACACTACCATCTCTTTTCTGTTATTTCATACACACCAGCCATGTGTTCACATCAATATCTTCAATGTGGTGGTGCAGGCATAAATAATGCACCACCTAGCGCCTTTAAACCCCACACTGACAGTTTACTTCACTGTACGGGGCTTTGAAAGAGCATGCATATGGAGTGAGAGACACATACGGGGCACAACGACTACGTTTAATTTGAACAACTAGTATTCTGAAATAGGTGTATTTTATACAGCAATACAATACATATGTAGGGATTTAACGGCGTTACAAACCATTGTGGAATGCCGCTACCGCTAAGCGTTCCTAGTTTGCGCATGCGTCGTAAGGTATCAACCTAACATGTGGCTATAATATCAAGCTAGTCAATCTGTTGACATGTGTATCATTCATATTAAGTCTTTAAAACGCTGTACACGACCCAGTTGAATACCGTCAACATAAATAAAGCATATAAACCTTCTTTATTCTGCTCAGTCTTTGGAACTACATTTCCCTGTTTCTCTCAGCTGTCCGATATTACGACGTGTCGTAAAATTCAGCTAACAGCAAAACCGAGATGGACACCACCAAAGACCCCTGACAGTTTTTAGTGTTTATCTAAGTGTTATCAAAACATCTTAATGTAGCGAAGGCAGGCTTCAGCACGCAGGACTGGTCTTGGACATGGAGGATATGGAAGATGACAGCTTAGACACAAAAGACGACCATAACCACAACTGTTGTGCGAGCAGCAGTAGCAAAGTCCGCACGTATCTGAGGAGCCAGCTGTCGGGTGTAGCGACGGTTCTGCAGCCAGCCTGCCCATTGGTGCCGGGTGGAGAACCGGGGACGCGACGAGGGAAACTGTGGTCCGGCAGCACCGGGGGGTCAAAGTTCATGGACTCGGATTCAGGCAGTGAGAGCAGCGAAGTCAGCGAGACCGACTGCACGGCTCCGCCAGCCGCTGTTGAGGGAAAATTCACCCTGGAGTCTACTTCCAAGTTCCGTAAGTTCACATTCAGCAGCACCGTGTCAACAGGGCCTGGTATCCCGCAGTCCCCGAGCAGCTCCATGCAGTGTACTAACATGTGTTGACTGATGCCTTTGGCTTACAGTTGGTTTGTTAGCCTTGATTGTTTTGACCAGTAGGCTATTGTGTTTTTGACATAAGTAATGTTCAATCTTACTACTACTCCATTTTCACTCAGTTTTGAATGCAATGGCTGTAGAAGACTACCGGAAAAACCACTGGCCAAACCTGGAGAAGGCAATTGACCGTCTGCTGATCCAGAATCCCACAGACCACATCTCTGTTTCCTATGCACAGATATACAGGTACGATTATAATGGTAAACTCACTTTAGCTAGGCCTCATTTCCCTGTAAACAGTGATTTTTGATGCCTCCATGTGCACCACTACTTAATTTAGTTCACCTGCAATCCTGGGTTTCTGAGTTTTTGCCTTTTTTGTCTTTCTTGCCCTAGTTACGTCTACAAGTGTGTTTGTCAGCAGCACTCTGAGCTCCTCTACAATGATCTGATAATAAAATTAACCAATCATCTGCAACAGGTTTCCACCCATCTACAAGTAAGCAGATACAAATAGAAGGAAATGATCATACAGAAATGGTAACATTTGCTAACACTTTTATTGTTGTTTTCAGGCGAGCCCACCCGAAGACTTCATTGAGAACTTTAATGTTGCGCTGACGCAATACACAGCTTCTCTTCAGTGTATAGTTCCTGTTTTTATGTACTTGGTAGGCATCTTTTTAGTTCAGTGTATTTGTAGTAGATTGTTGTGCACCCAACTATATCCTGGTGCTACGGTGTCACTTTTCTTCTCAACAGTTTTTCATGTTACATGTTTTCAGAACAAGTTCTACATCGAATCAAAGCTGAACAGAGACCTAAGGGAGGATCTGATGAAGCTGTTTGCTGATTGCGTAGCAGAAATACATCTGAGCACACTGATGCGTGAGTGCATTGCTTCATTCAAAGCCCTTATAACTGTCATGATATTTTAAAATGGTTATTTTGCTTGTTATTTTGAACTCAACTTTCCATTAACACTTGGTAAATCAATGGCATATGTTTGTCTCAAGTCATTGTGCTGTTGTCTTATCTTTTACCATGTATTATTTTCTTGTTCAGCTCTTCTCATCAAAGCTCATTCCATGCCGTTTCAAGTGCAGCCATCTACCATGGCTAGTGTGGTTAAAGGCCTCTACAGCCTCCGACCAGGTAAGCTGTGTTTATATGTGAATATCTCCTCCAGGTTTCAAACGATGCGTTCTGTTTGTGTGACTGCGTGTGTGTCAACAGCATACGCCTAAAATCTTGTCTTTGTTTGTGAATGTATGCTCAAGGACCTATCATGGTTGCAGTGATTCACAATTTAAACTAACTATTTTACTGTTGCTGACTCCTCCCTCACTCTTATCAAGCTATAGGCTGTACGCAGAGGTGGGAGAAGTACTCAGATTGTGTATTTAAGTAAAAATACCAGAATGTAGGAATACTCTGTTACAAGTAAAAGTCCTGCATTCAAAAGGTTTCTGCAAGTAAATGTACAAAAGTATTGGCATCAAAATATACTTAAAGTACCAAAAGTAAAAGTACTAATTGTGCAGATTGGTCCATTTCAGAATAATATATGATATGCTTTATAATGATTGATCATTAAAGTGTTCTCAAAGCTGGTAAAGGTGCAGCTAGTTTGAATGACTTTGTATACTGCAGGGTAGCTTGTGAATTTACTCCAGGTGGAACTAAAGTCTGATTTAAGAGTTTATTATATTTCACATCATTCATCCAAGTCTCTAAAGTAACTAAAGGTACAAAATAAATGTAGCAGAGTAAAAGTACACAATTTACCTCTCATTTGAAGTGGAGTAGAAGTACAAAGTGGCATAAAATGGAAAGACTCAATTAAAGTACAAGTATCTCTTTTTTATCTCTTTTTTTTTATACGTGTTAGGAGAATAAAAAAGCTGCACAACACATCTATCTTACCTTTGGTTTCCTTTTTCAGACTGGGCCAAGTTAGCACCGGCTCTCTTCTCCGGGTTTATCCCGCAGATCAACCCTCCCGCTGTGGAGTCTCTGCTTCCTGACTACGCTGCTCATGACCAGAAGTTACAGATGGATCTCTCCATGAATGGATTTCCGAGGTGTGTTTTCTGAGGCATCACTTCTAGAAAGTCAAAGTCTGAACATTGACACATTTTTGGGGAGGTCTTCTTTTTACTTGAATACTGATGTAATGTGTTTTTGTTTTCCAGAGGTGACCAGTCTCGCAAGCGTGCCAGCGAAGACTCCTGATAGCAGAGCCGGAGTCCCTGCGGAACTATTACTGTGCCTCCTACGTCTTTATCACAAGTTGGCTCACTGCACTAGGTACAATGTGTCAGTTTCATCTCTCTCGACTCAAGGTCACAAAACACTGTGAACAACAACAAGGAGAACATGAGGGGCTGTTGGGCAGAAGCTTAATCTGACTGCACTAAAACAAGCACACAGACTTCCATTAAGGTGCTTCCCCTCTGTGATTATGATGCATCCTGCTTCAGTATTCGTAGGATGCCGCTGTGTGAGTCTCTTCATGTTCTCCTCATTTGAAGAGTGCCTTCATGGGGCCTTCTGATCGGATAACCCCCTCGAGGGATAGGCCGGTGATGGGTATTTCATTCCTAACCTTTAACATGGAAGAGTCTTTTTGATAGACTGGGCTAATCAAGACTTTCCATTGCTGCTAATAATACTGTCCATGTGATAAACTACAACTCCCTCAGATTCACACACTGTGTCTGTAACCTAGTGGCTTCACTCAAAACAAATGAGTGTTTAAAACAAAAAGAGAACTAAGTCATTGACCTCAACTCAACTGAATCTCTTCCTCATGTTGCCTTTACTGTGTTGGTAAACCGGATTGTATTTTCCCGTTACGCCAAAGAGGATTTGCAGTTTTATTTTCCTTTTGTATAAATATGCATTGGATTCAAGCTGGCATTGTTAATGTTGTATACTGTCTGAGTCACTGAGCCATTTCATGTTTTTATACTAGCAGGTTTTCAGTTTTGGTTGACTTGTTTGTCAAACTCTAACTTTAAACGTACTGTTTTAGCATTGCATGCAGGAAGGGCAGGGACTGCCATGTAGGACATTACACTGTTTGCCACAAAGCTTAAACATCCACAGATTAGCCTTCTTTAATTTCTAGACAATTTACCCAAATCATCCCGATACTGTAAATAAATCCAACCTGATGCATGAGTTTTACGGAATGAATGATATGCAGATACTGTTTGGTTCGTGTCAGCCGTGCTTGTAAGACATGTAGAGCCTGTTCATGATGTAAATAGTTGTTGGTGTTTGCATAGTGGTCAGTGTACCCTAGCTTTTTGTCACAGATGCATTTTTGTTAAATGATTCACTTGAAGTATTTGATACAAGGTCTTACACTGTTTTAAGTGTACATAGATGCTCAGGCTTGCTTTTCCTTTCCCGCGGTGGGTCTTGGTTATGGTTCTCATTGTCTTTCAAATAAACATATTTCATTAATTGTTGGACAAAGAGGGGATTTTGTTTTTGTACTTTTCAAGATTTAAAATCTGGGTATTGACAGACGGTTTTCTTGTTAATAAACATATATACTGATAACTGATACCAATCGGATAACATTGTTTAATGAACAAGCTCTATTCTTCACTATGAGGAAGTGACATGAATTGTTTGACTTAATGCAACATCAGGCTTGACTTAAACATTGCTTTCCTAACTTAAAAAAATTTGAACAAATAAATACACGTTTATACATTTACAGATTTGTCTTCTTCTATTAATTAAATACAAAATCAGCCTGCAACCTACAATCTTATAAATGAACCGAGACTACGGTTTAAGTGTCAACCTTTTTATTGCACAAAAACAATTGGTTAAAACTTAATCAGGAATAAAAATCCCAGAGTATAATGTACTGTATCTAAACATAGAGCTGAATTGAATGGATCTGAATTGATCAATGGCACCCAATCCAATTATTTGAAGCAGTATCAGTTCGATATCAGTATGTGTGGATCCCGCAGTGCAGATATCCCTTTCTCTTAAACATGCTGAAAAATGATCCATGTTAAAACTGCACCTCAGTGAATAAAATGTAACTTGGCTCAAACACTGTTAAAAATCTGTTGCAAAGAAATCTTTTTCCAAAAAAACATTGAATCCAGTCACAACCACTGCCATAACTTTTACCACATTCATTTGTTTTGTTTTTATACAGTGTAACACACATTTCAAAGTGTATTATTGCTGTTAATCTGCTGTGTGAACCTTAGTGTCTGGGAGGCTCCACAAGGGGCTTCTAATTCTGTAGGATGGCGGCCTGTGACGGAGCACTGGAGGAGGAATCTCTTTACAGCAGGCCCCCCCTGGCCAATGAGCTGGGACGCCACCCTGACACATTGGCCAGGCCTCCCCAAAATAACCTGCGACTACTGCGCTGACAAATGTTGCTACTTGTGCTGGTGACAAGTTACCGTAGCTACACGGATCCATATATTCCCGTAAACTCTCCAAGGTGAACTGTGCGGTAAAACCGGGAAGGCTTGGCAGCTGCTCGTGTCCAAGATTTTTCCCAAGTGGCAGCCGCCGGAAGACCGGAATCTCCCTGTTTGAGCACAGGTGCACTCTGAGGATTTACCAGGGGCCGCTGGGGCTTATTCTGAAGGTAAAACACACCACCCCCTAATTTAATTTTTCACAGATTCCTTTTGACTGCCTCATATGCTGTGTATAGCCTTAGAAAACCTCAGACATTGAGCCTCAGCAGGGCTGGAGTCTATTTCTGTGAATGTTAAATTGAATTATCTTAACCTGCCGGTGTTTATCCAGGGGCCCTTTAATCTGCTCACTCAGCAGTGTCCCATTTATGATCATTATAGTTTCTGATTTAATAATAATTGTTGTGGCTGATCAGAATCATGATAACAAGGGCCCTGGATGAGGGGCACTGCTTTTTTTGTGTTGATTCTCTTCATGTAAACTGACCCCTCGCTATTATTAGATATGACTCGGTGGGCTCGGAGCCTGTTTGCAAAGGATTAATGTACACAACAGCTGCAGCTTCAGGTCCGTTGGAAGGGCATTGCTGCCTCTCTTATTGTGCTGATTTGACTGTCAGTAGCATATGTGTACCCTATCTCATGTCTGGACTTAAGAACATGCTCACGCCGAGTGTCGAAAAGTTGTGCGGAGACTAAACGTCATAAGAGTTGGTGCGAGGTGGAGGGGTCCCATCAGATCTGCTCTCAGTGCATGAAGCTGATACCCTGTCTGGTTAGAGGAAAGCTGGAATTAGGCTTAAATAAAAAACTATTAATACCACATATCCCCTGCTTTTAACTTCAGTCTCTGCTCTCATGTTCTGTGTTTGCTCTAAATATTGCAGCCGCAGGGAACGAAACACGATCTTTATTTTGTATTTGTTTAATTGACTGAGGTCTGCATCTTTGACATGTCAGTGAACTGTTTCATTCTATGTACTTCAACCTGCATTCACTTCATTCATTACATTACTGCTCATTAGTATTGCAACCAAACATTAGCATTTAATATATCTTACTTCCTAATAATTAATCAATTTCCCAGAGTTCAATCAGGTTTTTATTTGCTTGATATTCTAAATATTTAAATATTTAGTTTCCTATCAAAGCAGATAAAGAAACCCAGCACATCTTCACATTTAAAGGGGTTCACCACTTACTTAAGATTTCCAATTAGTTATTTCCATGACTTAAGAAAGTTCATTCAATATTTTTGAACATGAGATACACTCGCTCTCAAAGCAAGTAACCAGAGAAGTATGTTTCATATTTCCGATGTCGTCAAGTATGAAGTCCGGAGCTGCTCCTTCAGAAAAGATTTAATAGGGAAAGACTTTAGGGAAGTTCTGAGTTCTGAAACGTAAATACTCAATGTTTTTGGAGAGAGTTAATCATATTTACTTATATTTTGGGACTTTCTTATAGAGGAATAACATGTATGCAGTTTTCAATTGGGCGTAGTTCTCCTTTAAGAATGTGGATATTGTGCCTTTATAGAATTTCAGCTTTTCTGTCAATCTAAAAATGTATTATTTGATGATAGATAGCCGGCCACTTTCAGTCATTTTACGGTTATGTACTTTCATTGATTGATCCATAACAGTGAGCATTGCCATTTACACATTTCAGTTGGTTACATTACCATTGAATTGTAATGCATGGCGTGGTTATAGGCTGTAGTGGGGAAACGGAGAGCATTTTCCTACATGAATACTTGTTTTTAATGTAATTCATTGACAATCTTGTTCCCTCAGCATGCAGGAGAACAACATCGAGCAGCCCCCGTCACTGTCTCAGCTCCTCAGAGAGAACTACCTGGCAGAGGCCCGAGCCCAGCAGCGCCACAGCGAGATGAGCCGCTCAGACGCTTCCTCCTCAAGCCTCCAGATCTACGGGTCGCTGAAAGGCAAGGCGGAGGACTCTGGGGCTCACAATGATCCCACATTCACAGACCTGTCAGCCTTCCTCAGCCAGGAGGAGCTGGATAAGAGCGTGAACCTGGCCCGGCAGGCCATCGGACATGAGCCTCAAGAGGAGAAGGCAGAGGTCAGAGCCTTTGTCGCACCATCAACCCAGTCCACAAGCCCCTCAGCCTCTTCCTCTGAACTCACATCTGTTCCCCTGGCCAACCCCTCTCCTGCTCCTTCCGCCACCCCCTCCATGGTGCCCTTCACCCAGCCGGCCCCTGAACTCAAAGAACTGCAACACACAACATTCACACCAGACAGAAAGGTGCATAAAGCGTCCGCACGGCAGGAAAACATGTCCAGAAACGCAAGGGACCCCGGTGAGGGGTTCAACGACATTGAAAGGTCGGCGAAGAACGCCCCGTACGGCATGGAGAACCAGTCCAAGAAGGAGTTCCTCAACAAGGCAGCAGACTTCATCGAGGAGCTCTCCTCTCTCTTCAAGGCCAACAGCTCCAAACGGGGACGACAGAGAGGGAGCAAACCCCACCGGAGCAGGAACCAGAACAAGAGCCAGGTGGATGGGGAGGTGTATCCCCTCGGCCCTGACAACAGAGAGCGCTCTCCCATGCCCCTGGAGGTGGAGGCAGAGGTGGTGGTGGAGGAGGAGAGACCAAGCCCCGCTGTAAGCCACCAACCAGAGGCCCAGCTGGACTCTGAGATTGGGCACGTGGAGTTTCAGGACAGCAGGATTACTGAGGAGCAGCAGTGTGATTCTGTTTCCCAGGAGGCACCAGAGGAGGCAGAAAGCTGCACCCCGACAGACACTCCGTACCCCGCGGAGTCTGCGTCTGAGCCTCCTTGTTTCATCCAGAAACTGAAAAGCAGGGAGGTTGCAGAGGGCAGCAAGGTCCAGCTGGACTGCATTGTTAGAGGACTCCCTGTGCCTGAAGTCAGGTAAGACAAACCAGTGCTGAGAGTACTTTAGTTCTTAGTGTGCGGGAAATATAATACAGCAGGACATGAGCCTTAATTTGTTTTATTGGAATACTTGGAATTGCAGAAATGCCAGTATGCTTTACCAGTACCATTTGGGAACAATTATGTTTGGAGATAATGTTATGAGGGTTTTAGGTTTAGGTGTCATAGCAGGGATTCTAATTGGTACAAATGTATTTCCTTAAGTATTTCCTTTTAATGCTGCTTTCTACTCTTTACTCCACTACATTTATTTGACATTTGTAGTTACTGTACAGAATAAGGATTTCACATACAAGACACAATAAATCTTATAATATATGATGCATATATTTATCGACTTAATTGACCAGTGATATATATATATATATATAAAAGTGTACTAAATGGCAAAGGATTCAAGGAAAATATACAGTATCGCATCAGTAATAGTAATCAGTTGTGTAACAGCTAACATTTTAACTCTCACAGCAACCATTATTCTGAATTATTGATACTTTTACTTTTAAAACTTTAAATAACATTTGCTAATAATACTTACATAATTTTAAGTTACAATTTTAATGGTGGAATTTGAAGAAAATTGCCACTCGGATTGAAATGAAGGACCATGCTTCACAAAATATTTCTGCTATCATGATCTGTGTTAAATTAATGTAATAGGCATTGGTTAAATTATGTAAAGAAATGAAAGATTTGAACAATTGTTTTGAGATTTTAAAATGAAATGTTAGAAGAAACAGATTTATTAGTCCTACTTCCCACAACTTAACACTGAGACTTTTAAAAGATTGATTTAAGACATTTTAATACCAGTTCAGGCCTTTCATTTTTGATTAATTACTTCAATTCCTTTTAAGACTTGTTTAAGACCTTGGTATACAAGAGCCCGATATTATTATCTAATTATAACTTATTACATCTACTGGTTGTGCCACCTAGGTCTGGTAATATACAATAATACATTTCAGTAGACAAGTGGCCAAAGTATGTTTTTAGGTTTAGTGTAAATGTTTGTCCACCAGTGTTTTTGTTCTGTATAATATCCAAATCAGGATCAAATGTATCATGGTTTATAATCTTTCATGTACAAATATAAGCAACCAAAAATATGTATCAGAGTTGTCAACAATCAAATATGCATGTGGGCCTCAAAAGTACAATTTTGGTCAGACTTGAGTGTTTATGAAGTGTTAAACTTTAAGATGCCATGTCTGTTCCTTGGCCTGAGCTGATACTGAGGAATTACAAAGCCTTTTGAGAATTGTGACCCAAGATGAAGAGTGTTTCTTTCTTGGGGGATCCTAACCGAAGTGTGACCTGAGACGATAGCCAACAGCTGATTCTGAACAGTGTGAGTGTCTGTTTGTTATGTCAGGGTTATGTCTGGGACAAATAACATTTGGCTGTCATTCGTTCTTTAGAAGAATACCGTCATATTCCAAGGAAGGGCCATCCTGAATAATGACCATTCACATTCAACATGTGCCAAAATAGGAGAGGAGTGAACACATCTCATTGCAGTTAGCTGCTTTTGGTAGCAGGGTGAGCAGAGCACATTTTGAGGAAGAACATGGAGGTAATTCACTTTTATTAATGCTTGTCTTGTGGCAGTGTAGTTAGATATTTGTTAAAACCCTGGCTTCATCACGAGGACAACAAAGCCTTGAATACAAGTAAAGCTGAGGTCTCAGACTATGGGGGCATGGTCTTGTTGGTCTTCCAACATTGTTGAGCCACTAACATATGTGAGTGTCCGGGGAGAATGTAGCTCTTGGCCATTTTTAGCCCGGCCTGACAGTGCGAGCTGTAGTCGTGTCAGATAATGGATCCTACTGACAGAAGCTGGAAGACTGTGGTAAGATGATTTATACAGTTATTGTTTAACCATATGGTCTGTCCCAGTGTCTTACACTTGACACGTCTGAAGATGTGAGTTCAATTTGAGTGTATTCCAATTAAAAAAAGGTGCTTTCTGTTAACAAAATGCTCTTTTGATCGACTTTGGTGTGATGCTGTTGCTTGTTTCTCCTGCTACTGCGTTAGTAACTATGACTTTACTGAGTGAAAATAGAGTTGTCAGGTTCATATTTCCCATCGGTTTGCAGTGGTGTGCTGTCACCGGTGTGTCAGGGCACAGCATTGTGTGTTCACTGAGTCTATGTTTAGCGCTATGCATGCTTGTATGCGTATGTGATTGGGTCAGCCAGTCAGAGCTCCCAGGCTCCAGAGGGAATCTCCTCTCCGGTTCTGAAGTCCAGAGGGAAAATAGCTCAGACAGGTGCAGATCACAGATCACAGATCAGCCACCAACTCTACTACTAATGCTTTCCTTTTAGACCCTTACTCATTAGGAATGATGTAGCTCAGCCGCTGGCAGGACATTGACAGCACAGTGTTATAGCCAAAGTATCAGAAACAGATCTTTACCGTGTTGTCACTGGAAACTACACTTTGATTTCATTTCATTTGATTTAAAATGAAATAAGGAATGAATTCCTCTCCATGCATAGAGAAGCAATGGGGAGCCTAGTTTGTGTTTTGATACTGTTAAAAACAGCTTTTAATTAAATATACAAGGACTGTCAAATTAATAATAGAACTTTCCTTGGATGCTTTTGTCTATCACCAAAGAAACTGTGTGTGTTGCGTATTTTTGAAACTGACTTGAACAAAAAAACCCTCTGTTTATTGTAGATTTAAAAAAAATGAAATACAATGACATCTTATGAACGTATATTATGTACATTTTTCAATGCAAGGGCGAAACAAACAAACAATCAAAAAATAGACATCGTAGATAAATCTGTGTTTGCTATCACAAGTGTTGGGTCATTTTCTTATTGAAAAGTTGGAATTATTAAATAGGACATATTTAACTGTGTCTCATCATGTCTTTTGGCTGAGTAAAAGTAATTGAGGAATAGTTTCTTAACCCTTGGAGTTTTATTTAGTGCATATTTAGATGACAATATGAGTCTGGTGGAAGCACTCGATGTGATTTATGATCATCTGATGACGTCCTGTCAGAGAGTAACACCTCACCTCATTCCTGCATGTTTATTGGCTGGATTTCATAAAGCACCTCATCTGCTCAAAATAGATCTGCGTAGACGTCGATGCTTCTGCATTATGTTGGACAGAGAGAATTAAAGGTGTACTATTAATATTTAAAATGAATAAATAGACTTTTGTCAACTTAAATTCCAAAAGAGTGGATGCTACTTGGTAGGAATACTTTCTATAACTTAATATCAGCCAGGTCGGACTGTAGTCTGGTTTCCTTTTAAAGGAGTCATATTATGCTTTTTGGGGCTTTCCCTTTCCTGTAGTGTGTTTAAATAGGCTTGTGTGCATGTAAATGGTCTGCAAAGGCTAAAATGTAAGAGTTTCTCTCCCACCCCTGCCTAAATACCCTTCCATTGTAGTCCTTTGTTTACTTTCGTGAAATAATGACATCACTATGTTACACTCAGGCTTCTTTTGGCTAGCGCTCCAACAGATTGTCTCTAAGCTGTTGACTAATCACAACAGATCCAGCCAGCTAACCAATCAGAGCAGACTGGGCTCTGGTTTCAGACAGAGGGTGAAAAGAGATGCTGCAGCACAGGCAGTCTGAGAAAAAAAAAGAGCTTTTTGAACATTAAAGCATGGAAACATGTCACAGTAGAGACACTAAATACAAATATGAACCTGGAAATTAGCATAATGGGGCCCCTTTAATTGAAAAAGGCAAAAAGCAACATAAGAAAACACCAGATTTGATGGACGCACAACACATTCTAGGTGCCTTTTGGTGAGCTGTTTTGTGCTCCTTGGATATTGTAACATCAACAGTGCGTTGAAGCACCTCTGAACTGGCACGCTGGCGTTGCTTCTTGTCTTACAGGGAAAGGGATAGGGCTTGGTCATCAAAACATTTTTCTCTTAGCCTGCATAACTCCACAAAGTGGCAGAGAGCCAGAGGCACTTTTAGAAAACTGGCACCACATGGAAGCAGATTCTCCGAAACGATGTCAGAAGGTTAAGAGGAGGAAAAAGAGAACTATGAACGGGGTTTTAAATTATATAGCAAGGATATCATAAAATATCCTACTATATTCATATTTAAGTCATATAAGAGTACTATAACTTAAGTCATAGACAGGTGACCAATAAAAGGAAAAGAGCTCATTGATATGTTTGGAAAAATGTAAATGTTCCCTATGTTAAAGCTGCATGGACACTTAATACTTTATTCTTCTGTTTTATTACTTGTTTTTACATTATGTCAGGTTGCCATACTAAAAAGAAAACCATTTTATACAAATTCACACTATCCACAACGTCATGTCCACATACAATAAGGAACAATATAGTTGTCCCAGTAATTATACACATCCAGCCCTGACAAATAGGAATGTAGTAGTTATAATATCCATTTAATGCAATATCAAAGCCTTTACGTTACATGCTACTTGTTAGACGCTTTTATCCAAAGCGACTAACATACTCAATACCGTGGGCAATCCCCACAGGAGCAATTTGGGGTGAATGAGCTAGTAGATCATTTTAATTCAAAAATTAAAAATGTTATAGATACCATTGCTCCAACTACGGTAAAGGAAGTGATTGGCAAGAAAATATCTCCATGGAGAAAGGCCATGACTGTGAGAACAGAAAAAAGAGAGTGTCGAAAAGCTGAACGTAGGTGGCGAAAAACAAATCTCCAGGTTCACTTTGAAATCTATAAAGAGAGACTTGGCCTTTATAATTTGGAATTGATAAACGCACGACAGTCTTTCTTCTCTGACATCATTACCAAAAACAAAAACAACGCACGTGCCTTGTTTGCTACCGTCGACAGACTAACTAATCCCCCAGTGTCAGTAGCCTCTGAATTTCTATCCACCAGGGCGTACAATGATTTTGCCTCCTTCTTCACTGACAAAATTCAGAAAATTAGACAAGCAGTCAGTGCCTCTGCATCAGGTACAGCAAATGTGTTGTCCCTATGTCCACCTAATATCAATTCAAACACCATGACACAATTCCATCAGATTAATGGTAAAAACTTAGAGGACATTATTCAACTTCTGAAATCCTCCTCCTGCTGCCTTGATATTATTCCAACAGGATTTTTCAAAGATGTTTTTCCTTGCATGGCCTCAGATCTACTTCATATAGTAAACACATCTCTTCACTCAGGTATTTTTCCAGAGGCCCTGAAAACTGCAGTCATTAAACCGCTCTTAAAAAAGAATAATCTAGATGCTTCAGTAATGAACAATTACAGGCCAATATCAAACCTGCCATTTCTAGGTAAAATCATTGAAAAAGTTGTATTTCAACAGTTGAGTAACTTCTTGCATTTAAATAACTGTTTGGATGTGTTCCAGTCAGGATTTCGTCCAAACCACAGCACTGAGACTGCTCTTGTAAAGGTCTTCAATGACATCCACTTAAACACAGACAGTGGCAGAACTTCAGTGTTAGTATTATTAGATCTCAGTGCTGCGTTTGACACTGTTGACCACAACATATTACTAGACCGACTAGAAAACTGGGTGGGACTTTCGGAAACAGTTCTAAATTGGTTTGAGTCCTACTTAAAGGACAGAAAAAACTTTGTTTCTATAGGTAAATACACATCTGAGTTGACAAATATGACATGTGGGGTACCTCAAGGCTCCATCTTGGGGCCTCTTCTCTTTAACATCTACATGCTACCACTGGCTCAGATAATGAAAAACAACAAAATAAGTTACCATAGCTATGCGGATGACACACAAATTTACGTAACAATTTCACCAGGAGACTATGCTCCAATTCAAACACTGAGTAAGTGCATTGAACAAATCAATGACTGGATGTGTCAGAACTTTCTCCAATTAAACAAAAATAAAACTGAGGAAATGGTTTTTGGAGCCAAGGCAGAACTTATAAAAGTTAGCACTGAGCTTCAGTCTGCAATGTTCAAAACAACAGATAAAGCCAGAAATCTAGGTGTAGTCATGGACTCTGACCTGAGTTTCAACAGTCACATTAAAACAGTTACTAAATCAGCCTACTATCACCTAAAGAACATATCTAGGATTAAAAGACTAATGTCACAGCAGGATTTGGAAAAACTTGTCCATGCTTTTATCTTCAGTAGACTCGACTACTGTAATGGTGTCTTTACAGGTCTCACTAAAAAATCTATTAGAAAGCTGCAGCTAATTCAGAACGCCGCTGCTCGAGTCCTCACTAACACTAAGAAAGTGGATCACATCACTCCTGTTCTGAAGTCCTTACACTGGCTTCCTGTGTGTCAAAGAATATATTTCAAAATACTGCTGCTGGTTTATAAAGCTTTGAATGGTTTAGGCCCAAAATACATGTCTGACCTACTGCTAAATTATGAACCATCCAGAACTCTCAGGTCTTCAGGGACTGGTCAGCTTTCTGTCCCCAGAGTCAGAACTAAACATGGAGAAGCAGCATTCAGTTATTATGCTCCAAATATCTGGAACAAACTCCCAGAAACCTGCAGGTCCGCTGCAACTCTTACTACTTTTAAATCCAGGCTGAAGACTTTTCTTTTTGCCGCTGCTTTTAATTGAACTATTCACATCTTAAACTGCACTGTAACTTTTATCGATGTATTTTTTTCTTTTAATGTTTATTTTATTATCTTTTCTTTTTAATGACTGATTTTAAATGCCATTTTCATGTCTTCCATTTTTGTAAAGCACTTTGAATTGCCTTGTGTTGAAAGGTGCTATATAAATAAACTTGCCTTGCCTTGCCTTGCCTTGCCTTGGCTTGGCTTGCCTTGCCTTGCCTTGCCTTGCCTTGCCTTGCCTTGCCTTGCCTTGCCTTGAAGTGTCTTGCCCAGGGACACAACGACATGCTGACTGCAGTGTGTCATGGCCTGGCTCTTGGCCATAACAAAAAGCGTGGGAAGGACAAGAATATATATGAAAAAGGTATTTATTTGGCAAAACTCAAGGTGGCCAAAGGAAACAAAAGGGCAAGGCAAAAAAGAATACACGACGTGGCTGCTCTCCGAGGTCCGGTCCTCTGCGGGGAGAGAGATTGCGGGTCTCACTCAGGCCCTTAAACCCTCTGGTACCGGCCGCCAGGTGTCCTCAATCCCAGCTGATAGACCAAAGGGAGAACCTTAAAGGAACACACACACACACAAGAGATAACAAGGCAGGGGTCGTCACAAGTGGGGTTTGGACCTGTGACCCCCTGATCCGAACACCAACGCGCAACCCACTGCACCACACGCCTTTATTTCGAGATTTCTCTGAAAGGTTGACAAAAAAGGGGTTTCTCACCAAAACACATTGCATGTAAACTTAAAGTCTTATTAGTCTTATATATGCAAAGCTGACTTTTAAAAATACATCAAATTCATCTACCTCTATTAATAAGTTCAACGGTTATGCGGTTATGCATTATTGACATCCACAAAATCTTTGACACTATACAACTGATGTGCGCTACTTTTTAAGCATCATAACAATTACAACAATGTCCATTATTTGAAAGCCACAATATACCTACGGAGTACGCTTCTCAGAGCCTAAAACATATATGTATGTATTATCGTTATTGTGGAACATTTTATAGTTTACATATTTGGTAATGGTTTAATTGTCCAGCCATTGACTCTCTTATAAAACCCTGCTTGGTAGCGCTACTACAGGTTAAAAGCTCCATAGATAAGTTTACAGCTTTAAGGATTTCCTCCAACATTATTGCATATGGAACTTTCTTTAAGTAATAACATGCTAAGTGTTTCTGAGCATTTTGTGCTTTCTTTTTGAATTGAAGATGGTTCTGTGAGGGCAAGGAGCTGGAGAACTGCCCGGACATCCAGATCATCACCGACGGAGAGCATCACTCTCTGATCATCGCAGAGGCCTTCGAGGAAGATACTGGGCGCTACTCCTGCTTCGCTTCTAACTTCTATGGCACTGACTCCACGTCAGCCGAGATCTACGTCGAAGGTGGTTCTCCTGGTTCTTTTTCATTGTCACTTTTAAAGCTACTTAAAACCGCTTAAAACACTGAGTGACGAAATGTGTTTTGCATAGGTACCTCCTCTTCGGATTCTGATGGGGAACAGCGATTTGAACATGTAGCACAGTGAGTTTTTACAATTATTACCAACTTTGAGTGTCATCTATCTTATTGTAGCACTAATCGAGACATTTCTGTGATTTCAAAGGCAGCAGAATAAATCTTCTCCATCATCGAGCCAAGCTCTTTCTGCGGAAGAGGAAGACCCTCCATCATCTGACCCTGCAGCAGCCATCGAGGAGCCAGCAGAGCAGATCGTCTCTGCACAAACTAACCAAATAATCCCAGAACCTCTGCTACCAGTGAGGACACCAGCCACCATACTTTCAGTCGTTGAGCCTTTGAATGCATCCGTAACACCGTCAGCACTCCCTGTTCAAGAGGAACCAACATTGGAAGAGCCAATAGTGTCACAGGTGCAGGTGTTTCCTACTTCATCACCAGGCCAAACAGGACTTTCAGAAGCCCAGGAGGTGTCTGTTACATCTCCTCCTCCTCCAGTGGAGACGGCTGCAGCAGAAGCTCTATCACTGCTCCAGAACTCAGTGGTCTCCTCTGTGCTGTCCCCTCCAACACAAACACTCCAGCCTGAGGTAGAAGAGCTCAAACACTGCCTTCCTCTACAACAATTATCACTTTTGTATATTTATATCAACCTGCCTGTTTTGTCTTTAATCATCAGAGTCAAACCTCTACCTACACCTACCCTCAAGTGTTGAACGGCCAACCTATCATGGCTGCCCCTGTATTCACAAAGGTAGGGATATTTTCAGATGACTGTACACTGCTGCTGTCTGGTATGTGTACATGAATGTAACACTCCCTGTGTTGTCCCTCCAGAGCCTGCAGGACCTCCTTGCGTCAGAAGGCCAGCTGGTGGTGCTAGAGTGCCGTGTGAAAGGGGTGCCGTCACCACGAGTGGACTGGTACAGAGATGGGACATTCATAGAGGACTCTCCTGAACACAGGATCCTGCAGAAAAGTAAGCTCTGCCACACTACTGTCATATTGTAGAAAGTGGTAATGTTTTTTGTATTGGTGAAAAGGACAAAGGAGGTGAGATGTAAAAGTACAATACATAATAATAGATGGAATCATGAATATAGACAAATGAGACAAAACACACAAACAAAATCAAGCCAATAAAACAAGCTGACAATTAGTAAAAGCACTTGTTTCAAAAGGGTGGTTATGTTAGGTGTCTCTGTATGTGTATGAGTGTATATTTAACTCATAAAGAAGAGACAGGCAGGAAAAGGGAAGCCTGAGCAAGTAATAATGATATACAAATGAATTACAACTATAAAAATAACATGTCATGCCTTGTTTCATATTCGTTTTTCTTAATTGTGAATTAATTAAGATGTAAAGACTTAATTGTTTCCTAAATAAGTCAATTGAATACAGATTATTTTAAATATATTTCAGTATTCTTGCAGTTTAATGTTCTCTAAAACCTTGGTGTTGCAGGGAAGAAAATAGTAAATAAATAGTGATGCTTAATTTAACACAATACTATTATGTTTATCGCCTTATTGAGTGTAAGAACTGACTTTCATTGCAAGTAAAAACATTTTTTTTAAATGTACTCTTTTCTTCCAAGGCCTGATTTTGTAATGTATGGACTAAAGGCGGGGTGATGAGTCCTAAGAGCTAAAATATATGCATAGTACTTTAAAGGAATTTCAAATACTGTAAACTGTATATTGTCATAAAAGTTTTGAAATGTTTATTTCATAAATAAAAATGTTTTTATTTCTTAAGGAAAAAAAACGAATAAAAATCTACTTGCATCAATGGTTTATGCTTTCTGATAACTGATAATAACAATTCTCTGAGAAGTGCAGAATATTTATTGCGTTTCCATAACGATAATGGTTTTTGTTTCTGTTCCAGAGCCCAGGTCTCCAGCTGAATCAGGTACACACTAAATCCTCATCAGTCACAAGATGCTGACTGCACTAAAGCAGCTGCCTGTCTGTATATGATGCTGCAGTGTGTACATATTAATCTGCAAGTGTTTATAGTCCTTGGCGAGAGCTCCTGCTCTTCTTCAGTAAACCAGGGCTGCTGTTCCCTGAGTGTGGACCATATAAGGTCGTCTCTCATCCTGAGTGAAAACACTATGGCAGATCACTGAAACCTGCCTTACTGTAGCTGCACACACACTCTCATTAACCTCACTGCAAGGCATCTGAAACACAACAAGTCATGTATCTTTCTCTGTTTAAAGTTAATAAGATACCATACCAATTGATTATGTGATTATTATTTTTTTTTTACTACTTCTAGAGGATATATGCACTCTGGTCATTGCTGAGGTCTTTCCTGATGATTCGGGGATGTTTACTTGCACAGCAAGCAACAATTATGGAACCGTGTCCAGCGCTGCAGCACTGAGGGTCACAGGTAACATTTAAGGTTTACTTCCAGCTTTTATGTATTCTTATCAAAGTGCAATATTGACACCTGTAATTCTCATCAGGCAATGCCAGCAACAGTAACCATGTGAGGCCTTCCAGCAATTCGATGCTGGAGCCAAACCGAAGCCAAGAACCTTCCCCCGCCCCCACTGTAAACCTTCAACCAAAGGTTACTATGACCACCAGCGTCAAGCCCCACTCCAGCACCATCCGCCTGGACCCTCTCATCTCCAGCAGCGTACGCCTGGACCCGTTGAGCACCAGCACCCTCCGTTTGGACCCCCTTGGATCCAGCATGCTGCGCCCAGACCCCTTCCGCTCCAGTCTCCCCAGCCTGGAGCCCTCCAGCCTCATCAGCAGCTTCAGCTCTCGCAGCACCAGCGCCCCCAACTTAGATCCTATCAACCTCCATCAGAACCATCCTTCACCCAGTGGAGCAGGTGCAGAACCACAGAGCAGCAGACAGGTGCTCTCCTACCTGAAACCCTTCACTTCTCCATTCTCTGTTGGGACGGTAGCAGAGCAGGAAGCGCCCACGCCTTCAGTGACACCACCCGACACCAGCGCCACAGTGAAGGTGACCCCTAACCATCAGAATGGGAGCCTCATCGTGCTGCCCCTGCCCGACCCCCCTCCGAACTCCTGCCTGAAGACTCGAACGAAACCCAAACACTCCCGCTCCGGGTCTCGGCGCGTCCACTTCAGACTGCCGGAGGAGGAGGAGCAGAGTGACGCGTCCAGCAGTCAGTGTGATGAAGACCCCAACATGTCGCTCAACAGGGAACCTCCACCTGTGCGGGCTAAACCCAAACTGTGAGTAGAGCTGATAAAGAAGCAGACTTTCAGCCTTGTGCTGAGACTATGAAACCAGGATGTTTCGATATACTGTATTATTTTTAATATTAAATCATGATATCATGCTAATAATACATAGGATACGATCGTGAAAATTATCTAGCAAATTGTCAATGAAACACTCTTTATTTCATGTGGTAATAATTAGCCAAAAAAGAGACAAAGCGTACATTAAACAAATTAAAGATGACTTTGACTGGAAGTATTACAATAATTAATTAACATTCTTTATAGATATAGCAATAATATCATTAAGCAAAGACATTATCCTCCAGGACATTGAGAAAAAGCTTCGACTGAGAGACGACACTCAACATTTTTGCACATCAACAGGTACCAACAGTCTCCAGCTCTGCAGCTCGGATAGATTCCTAACTTTTTTGACTTAAATATAATAATGCAAACAACTTACATACACAACAAATATTTTACAAGATTAAGCTCAGCCCAAAATCTGTAAATCCAATGAATTCAGATAAAGCATTTTTGCATGCACTGTCAATTCTGAGAGTTTGGGGTGTTTTGCTCACAAAGCATATTTTCTTTGAGACTAGTGGAAATGCAACACCCCAACAAATGTAGGAGTCTACTAACATGGTCTATTTGCGTTCGTAGATTTCTCCACAAGTAAGCATTACATAGTGGATAATTTGCAGTATTAAACAATAAAAAATCCAAACAGTTGTTATTAAAAACTTGATAAATGTTTTCCCTTAATATAGATATTCAACTGACTACAAATAATTAATTCACATTCTTTATAGATATAGCAATAATATCAATACCATAAATTATTTTGGACACAATAATTGGAAATTGAAAATGCGTTATTGTTAAAGCCTTTCTGTCAGAATGGTCTAGAGCAGTCATTGTATAGTTATAGTATGATTAGTTATCCATATTGGGTTCACAGTTTGTCAGTATCAAAGTAGATCAGCTGGGCTGTGTTGGGGGGGGGGGGGGTCCTGCTCCTCCTCTGGCTCATCTCACAGCTGTAATCAGATGCAACTCATACATGAACACAGGCGGACTTCAAATGTGGACCTTTCAGCTTTCAAAAACTAGGGATGGCGTTTTCTATTTGTAAGTGTACTTTTATGCATTTATGTTTATCTAATATTTCAGATAATGCTGTAAACAAAATCTTGAAGGGTTTGATTAGCTGCTATGTACACGTTATGCTTAAAATACAAAGATAAATATGACAATTTATTTAGTGTAGGGCTTAATTTGCAGTAATCCAATAATAACTAAAAGAATTGCCAGTTAAGTATGAAAGCTGGAAATGTGTAGAGCTTGTTTTGCAGGCTACTTGTTTGTAGTCCATACATGGGCAGAGTGTTCTTCGTGCTGACTCTGGCTCAGTCCTGCTGGGTTTATAGCGTGGACTTAATTTATGAGAGCAGTGTACTGAGCCGCTCTGATTCTCACCATGTATAGTGTCGTTTTTTGGCTGTTCTTTAAATGTCGTTTTGCTTTGATCAACAGGGACCCGGCCCAGCTGCGGAATCTGCACAACCAGGTCCTCATGGAGCAGCAGCAGGACCCTGAACCTCAAACACCCCCCCCACCCTCAGTCCCAACCTCTGTCCCAACCAAAGCCTCAGCCTCAGCCCCAGGCCCAACTTCAGCCACCATCTCTGCCCCAGCCTCAGTCTCACCCCCTACCCCAGACTCTGTCCCAACCAAAGCCTCTCCCTCAGCCCCAGCCGCAACCACAACATCAGTCTCAGCTTCAGTTCCTTCCCCAGCCTCAGTCTCCCCCACACTCCCAGCCTCAGTCTCTGCCCCAGTCTCTGCCCCAGCCTCAGTCTCCCCCACACCCCCAGCCTCAGTCTCTGCCCCAGCACCAGCCCCAGTCTCTGCCCCAGCCTCAGTCTCCCCCACACCCCCAGCCTCTGCCCCAGTCTCTGCCCCAGTACCAGCCCCAGCCTCAGTCTCTGCCCCAGCACCAGCCCCAGTCTCCCCCACACCCCCAGCCTCAGTCTCTGCCCCAGCACCAGCCTCAGTCTCTGCCCCAGCACCAGCCTCAGTCTCTGCCCCAGCACCAGCCCCAGTCTCAGCCCCAGCACCAGCCCCAGCCCCAGCCTCAGTCTCACCCCCAGCCTCAGCTCATGACCTCCTCCCTGGTGACCTCCCCTCCACCTGCCCCACAGCTGAAAATAGCTCCACCCGTCAGCATAGCTCATGTAACCCAGATGAACACCATCCATGCCTCCCACCTCAACCTGACCCCTGCAGCTCTCGCCAAAACTCCCCCTACACCGCAGTTTTTCTCTGCTTTCGCACCAAAGTTTAGCGCAGCCTTAACAGATCTGTCCTCGGTCACTTCTCCTGCTCCCTTCCTGAGAAGCACCCATGCCTCCCTCATGAACCTCACCCCCACCTCCCACTCCTTCAGCTACGCCCGGCCTAAAGAGTTCATAGCAGCCCAGAGCTTCTCCCCGGTCAGGAGTCCTTCCCCGACAGAATCTCCGGTCCCTCTTCTCCAGGAACTGGCCGCTGAGCTCAACTCCTCCGCAGCCAGCTCCCCCACCCTCCCGCCTTTCTCCCCCCCATCCAGGACCTTCACCACCAGGGTGCTCAAGTCTCCCACCAGCCCTCAGTCTCTCGTGTCCTCACCCACACCTCTGTCGCCACCCTACCTGAACAGCATGTACGCCATGCGAACCCAGTCGCCCCTCCAGGCCTCCTCTCCCACCTCCAGCAGCTCCACCTCCACCTCCAGCCCCATTCAGAACCCTGTGGCGTTCCTGAGCTCCGTCCTGCCCTCCCTGACCCCGACTCAGCCCACCAACTCTATGGGCCTGCCCAGGGGAGCTCCCATAGGGTACGCCCTCCCCTCTCTGACCAACGCTCATCAGATTAGTGAACTGTCCGATCTTCTAAAACCTTTTTTCCCTTCTGTCTCCTCAGGCTAAAAAAGAGCATGCAAAAGGCACGCATCCCGTCATATGAAGACATTCGGGAAAGCAGAGAGAATATCCTCCACGACATTGAGAAAAAGCTTCGACTTAGAGACGAAACTCAACATTTTGCACATCAACAGGTAACAAGCAGTCTCCAGCTCTGCAGCTCGGATAGATTCTAACTTTTTGACTTGCAGAGATGTAGTTGGTCATAAATATAATAATGCAATCAACTTACATACACAACAAATATTTGACAAGATTAAGCTCAGCCCAAAATCTGCAAATCCAATTTATTCAGATAAAACATTTTTGCATGCACTGTCAATTCCGAGAATTTGGGGTGTTTTGCTCACAGAGCATATTTTCTTTGAGACTAGTGGAAATGAAATATCCCCAAAAAATGTAGGTGTGTATTAACTTTGTCTATTTGCATATGTAGTAAGTAAGCATTACATAGTGGATCATTTGCATATTTAAACAGTAAAAAATGAAAACACTTGTTATTCAAAACTTGATAAATGTGTTTCCCTTAATGTAGGTAATCAACTGTGAAAGTTTCAAGGTGATATTTATCAAATTCATATTTATTTCCTTTACACCTGAGTTATGTAACATGTAGGGAATTTTACAATGTGAGGGTTTTGTTTATACATTCAACTTGTAATACACAAAATGGTTTTCTTAATATAACTATTCAATCTGGAGTTTCTCCTTCAAGGGGTCCTATTGTGCTTTTTGAACAGTAAAGCATGTAAACAGTAGAGGCACAAAATACAAATATGATCCTGAAAATAAGCATAATAGGGCCCCTTTAACCTGTTAAGCCCGAGAGACCCCGGTACCGGGGCACTGCCACAACATCTTGCAGGAAACAGTGTCTGAGGGCATGTTCATTTAATAAACTATGAATGTTTTATATCCATGTAACGGGAAGAAACTCATTTAACTGATAATTTTTATTTTTTTTTCAAAAGAAAACCCACAATGCTAACACTGAGCCTCTGAATTAGCAACGAGCGAAAAATGCTAACAGATTACTGCACCGAAAATCACTCACAAAACTGTATTATTTATATTTTCTGCACATCCATGACATCGTTTCACATCGTGAGGTGACACAGAATCTATTGACACCGACATTACCACTGAATTATACGAATTTGCGACGTTATAAACAAAAACAGACATCAAAACAGGTGACGCTAGGTAGCTAAAATGCTAACATTTTTACCTTGGCTCTGTAGTCTCTCCAAAGTGGTCTTCAATGGCATTAAAACGATAAAAACGCTGCTGAAGTTAATCCATAGGTTAATCCAATGTGTCTGTGTCCCTTTGAAATGATTTCTGATAATCCATAAACAAACAGACAGATAATCCATGCTTTTACGTTTCTAGATGTCAGAGCTAGACTGTAGCTTCACTCTAATGCAAAATTACATGCGCAAAGCCCCCACCTTTTTCTTTCACAATGAGTGTGTGTGGGGGACTCCCCCTTCGATTCTATTGGCTCTAACGGTCAGAAAGAGCGGCCAACCATCAAAATCGACCAATGGGTTCCAGAGATATGAAAAAAAAACAATTTCCACCCAAATCACCTCAGAGGTGGAGTGTTTTTGGCTAAACCTCTCTAAAAAGGTCAAATGTCACTTGTTTTGCCTCAATCTTGATACAGGGTACTTATTATATGTTGTACTTTGGATTCCCAAAGCTTTTAGTATACCTTACCATCATCCAAGGGTAGTTTTCACTATAAGTAAAAAATAATATTTGGACGGACACTATAATTTACGTTTAATTTATGTAAAATCTGAATTTTTTTTTAAATAAAAAACATCTATATTGATTCTGACTTTTCTACATCCAACTCACAGGTTTATCATTACTTTGAGAAAAAAGATTATTAATTTAACCCTTTTAGAAGGGAAGATATGGTCATTTGTTCTGGAAATGTCATTTTCGAGCCTGAGACCTGAAAAACAGGCTCAGGGCTTAACAGATACATATAAAGTGGACTTCAACATCCATTACATCCCTGCTCAGATAGAACTGAGTCTACTGTGTCTATTGATCATCATGTTTGTTGACATGTATATATGTATGTTGTCACATTTTAACTAACCAACTGTTGCAATCAATTTATTTGGATAAATGTTACTGTATATTAACCACAACTGTGCTGCATTCTCATTTGTCTCCAGGTTTATTCTCATGTATTCATGTTGAAATGAATACATACGTGTCAGATGATAAAAGCATTGACTCTGAGGCAGTGAGGGACTTGATTTTATTCAGCATCAGCCATCATTCCCTCCCCAGTCATTCCTTGTTATGTGTCTATGTAGCTTAACAAATCACGCACGCTCTTAACAATTAGTGTGTGTGTGTGTTATTGATGTTTGTTGTAGAGTGTGTGTGTCTCAGTTGGTGTTCATCATCCATCCCTATCCCTCTCATAGAAGCTGAGTAATGAGGGGAAAACAGCGAGCAGACCCCTTGGACCAAACATTCCTGCTACTGTCTTTAACTATGATGAGGTACAAGGACCCCCGTCCCAAGCACGGCTTTGCTCCAGGCTGTATGGGTTAATAAAATGTGTCAGAACAAGATTAGGACACTATAAATACCACGGATAATAAATATCTAATCACGCATTCAAGCCTCTGCACTAATATAACCTGCACGAATAATCTCGTAAAAATAATTGTAGGGTTAGAATGCATTAAGCTAATGAAATGTCAGTTATCTTGCGTGTAGTGGAGTATTCTCCAGTTTCACTAAACCATTTCACATTTCCCCACTGAAGCTTGCAGCCTCTTTTTGCCGTTTGCGTTTCAGATCTTACCAAAATACCAAAATGTAAATCTTTCTTCTTCACAACCCAAAAAAGTATTTTTACAAACTGTCACACTTTTTGTTTACTTCCTTAATGAGCTGTATATTCATACTATAATTCTGTTTATTTTTAATAATTAGTTTGCAAACTGGATATGGATTGCTAATATAAGTTGCAACTCATCATTACAATACCTTATTAATTGGTTAACAAATCGTATAATCATGTATAAACAATATTTAGATAAATTATTTTTTGTATCAAAAAGTGAATATAGTATATAACTTTATTGTTATTATTTTAAAATATATTAATTTTATATATAATATTAAATATTAAATGATTGTACTTATGTTATTAGAATGTAATTGTTTATTTCTTGCATCATCTATGATATACGTATATCATATCAAATAAACTAAAATAATTATTTCATATTACACAATCCAAAATAACCCAAATTACAGCATTACTAATAATTAGTAAACATTATTCATGATCATAACATTGTTAACAGTAAATTCATTATGAACTACATACATTTACTACCAAATTAAATAAAGCCTTTCATTAGGTAAATACTGTCTTTACATTTCACACACGTTTCACAAGCTCATCTTCTCTGTTCACTGTTTTACCTTCAGCCCTATTTTATGGTTGGATGAGCAACATGTTTTTACCAACCAGGAATGATGCCGTCAGGCAGATGCAACTGCATGATTCTCATCATCTTGTGGTTTAAAGTCACAATCTGTACCTCTCTGTTTGAGTTGCAGATTGTTACTTTAACGGTTGCTAAATGATAAAAGATGCACGTTGTCTCATGTTCCTGATTGTTGCATTCCTTTCAGAAGCATTTGTGTCTTATCCCAGTTAGTCAATCGTCTATCTAGTGCAACGTGACTTTTTTGTTGTTATTTTTTCTTTTCCAAGGAGTACAAAGTGTCCAATTTTGAGCAGAGACTAATGAGCGAGATTGAATTCCGTTTGGAGCGGACGCCGGTGGAGGAATCGGACGATGAGGTGCAACACGATGACGTCCCTACAGGGAGATGCATCGCGCCCATATTAGACAAAAAACTGAAGAACTACAGGGCCATGGAGGGCGTGCCCGTCACTTTCTCATGTAAAGTAGTGGGAATCCCTTTTCCAAAGGTGAGAGGTCAACCGTATGCAACATGACAGCATGATCTGTCACGCTCATCCTTATCATTTTATCATCCACACCCTCTGTGTCTCAAAAGGTGTACTGGTTCAAGGATGGCAAGCAGGTGTTGAGGAAGAACGTCCATTACAAGAAAATAAGGGAGAGGGACGGGACCTGTGCTCTTCACATAGAGACCACCACCCAAGACGACGATGGCAACTACACCATCATGGCATCTAATCCTCAGGTGATACTTCACACTTCCTGTTTATGTTCTCAACATTTTCCCTCCAGCTGCACTTCCTGATGTTTGATATTTAATGACCAACAGGGACGGATCAGCTGCTCGGGTCATTTGATTGTCCAATCGGGACCTCCCCGAAACCGAATGACACCTATTAGCTCTCAGAGGTGAGCAGTGTGCAGTGTGAGACGCAGAGGTAAGAAGACTTGCAGCATGAGGAACCAGCCAAGTTCTGATTTTACTTCCTGATAATAATCCTATTTAATGATCAATACAAACGTGTTAACATACGCTACAATTAAGTCTAAACTGGATAAATGTCTAAGCTGGTTTTTGCCCCATAACTGTGTTAGCAGGAAGCTGCCATAATAAAAAAAAGAAAAGTAAATGGCTTTAAAAAATATATATATATGCCATAAAATGTACCTAGACCATAGTAAATAGATGTAGCCATTAATAATTATTAAAAAAACAACAACATACATTTATAGTTCTGTTTTTAGTTTGCGTCTTCATTTAGTTTTTGTATTACTTTCCCTATTTATTTACTCTTATATTTTCTTTCTTTAATATTAATTATAACATGTAGTGATACATTTTTTCATTTACTAATTTATTTTATATATTTATGTTTATTTCAGTATTATTTTAATTAGCATTTTGCCCCCTATTTATATTCTTCAAACTTATTTATTTCTGTTTTATTTTTGCCATGCATTTCTTCTTCTTCATACAAATGAGGGTGCTGTCATTCAAAGTCTGACCTGGGGTCATCTTTTCTCCTATGGGTTGTTGGAGGCATGCATGGATGTACTATACATACTTTGGTTCCGTCCTCCATACATCACATGCTCTGCTCCCCTTTCACAGGGTGCGAGCCCGCATACAGGAAGTTGAGAGTGAGCAAACCCAGGAGCGCTTTTTCCAGCCTCACTTCCTCCAGGCTCCGGGGGACATGCTGGCTCACGAGGGCAGACTGTGTAGGCTAGACTGTAAGGTAGGCAGCAGCTCCTTAATGTAATACAAAAGTACTTCATGTTTGCCTCACCTTCCTTTAACATTTTGATGTGCTCCAGGTGAGCGGCCTCCCTAACCCAGAGCTGATGTGGTTGGTCAACGGGAGGCCAATCTATCCGGATCTTCTGCACAAGATGCTGGTGCGGGAGAATGGCGTCCACTCTCTGGTCATTGATCCTCTGATGCAGAACGATGCTGGGACATACACGTGCATTGCAAGCAACAAAGCAGGGCAGAGCTCCTTTAGTCTGGAGCTAAAAGTTGTAGGTAAGGGCTGGAAACAGTCAAAGAAAATGAACAAATTACTCATCATAAGCAAATCAGTTATTTTGACTGTGATGTAGCTTGTTTGTAAGTTCCAGTAATACAATTAATGTCCGCTGTAGAGAAAGAGATGAAGCACTCGCCCGAGTTCGTGGAGAAGCTGCAGAACATGGGTATTCCTGAAGGGACTCCAGTCAGGCTGGAGTGTCGGGTGGTGGGTATGCCCCCTCCACTCATCTTCTGGAAGAAAGACAATGAGACCATTCCTAGAACTAAGGACAGGATCAGGTGAGTAGGAGGAAAAGGCTTTCCCTGCACACGTATGAATGTTATGAAGTGGGGTTCAGAAAATTAAAGTACTGGTCTGGAAATAAAGCAATGTACTGCATTCTACGAGGGCAGTTGCAAAACCCATTTTAGCCATCTAAAACAATTTGTATCAGTCAATGCTTTATTTAGAATAATGTATCTTCTGTACCTTCCTGTCAGACAGCCCTCTCCAACAGGGAACTGAAATGTTATCTATGCTTTCTTCAAGCCACCAGACTTAACATATAGAGTGATTTTACCTTGCAGAACACTGAGATATGTTTTGCTGCTGCTCCAATCCACAGCAGTACATTGCTAAGCTAGTTGCTAAACTAGCTTATCCTGTATGTTTCTCTAAGCTTGGGGCTAGAAGACATGCCAGCTACTAACCACATGCCTAAAAATATCTGTAATAGTTTCAAAGATCTTTATTGGAATTTGAATGAATTCTCCATGATCTGTTTATTTCAGCATGACACACGACGCAACAGGATATGTGTGTCTCCTCATCCAGCCAACAACTAAAGAGGATGCCGGCTGGTACACAGTATCAGCAAAAAACGAGGCTGGAATTTCCTCCTGCACCTGCAGGCTTGATATCTATGGTGAATATCTTTTATAGCTGTAAAACTATCAGCTTTAATAAGAATTTTGCCAAATGTTGTAGTTTGTCACTCGAAGTAGTAATACTAGCTATCTGCTGCGCCTCCAGCACAGTGGCATCAGAGCATCCCTGCACCCATGAAAAAAGCTCCGCGCACAGGCAGCCGCTACGCAGCTCTGACGGGACAGGGGCTCGACATCAAGTCAGCTTTCCCCACGTCGGACAACAACCCCTTCCTGTTCTCCAGCTCCCCTCGTGAGGCCATGCTGGAGAGCGAGGAGCTGTGAACCTGCAGCATGGTGAACCTCAGGGCACGTGCTGAGGCCTCCCTGAGTTTAAACCAGTAGAGCAGTTTGTCATGTGCTTTGTGTGATGCTTTTGAAGAAGAAGATTGAACTTATTGTCATTACGTAGTACAGGTACTATGTAACAAAACGGTTTCTCTGCATTTGACCCATCCTAGTGTTAGGAGCAGTGGGCTGCCATTATGTACGGTGCCCGGGGAGCAGTGTAGGGAACGGTGCCTTGCTCAGGGACACCTCGGTAGCACTTGGTCTTTCCGGGACTTGAACTGGTGACCTTCCAGTTGCCAAGCCAAGTCCCTATGGACTTCGCCACCACCACCGCCCCAAGTGATACACTCATGAAAGAATGGCAAAGAAAGATTGTGTTAAAGCTATCCGCACTGATAGTGGGTTTGTCACCATTCCTATTTACTCAAGTCGAGTGTTTCGCATACAGAAAAAAACAGTTTTGCAAAGTCTTAGCTCATGAGCCATCAGTGGAATAGTGTTCTATGGCGTTTGTTTTCTACATCATATTAGCTATAGTAGCAAGGCAGTTGTGTTAACATCAGTTCTTAAATGTCCTATTGAAACACCCCTTATTTTTTATTGCGAATAAGATACCTGTACTGGTAGTAATAGTTTATTTTAAAATGAATACAAAAAATAGGTTAGAGTATAGCAATGGACATTTTAGTCATTTAGTTTCTTTAAATGGCTCCAGCAAGGTGGGATTCTTTCTACATAAACCTAAATAAGTTGTTGACGTTCATCACTAGTTGATATTTTTGCACCACTTTTCATGTGCATGCATGCCAATGGCTGATGAAGATGTCATACTGTATCCCTTAAAAACACTGTGTCTGCTCACGGTCATAATAATACAAATATGGTGATTTCATTCTTCTTTTATTGACAACGTTGTATCTGCATTTGTATCTACAGTTCCAAATGTATTACCTGAGGAATGAGACATAGGAGACTTAAAAGCTATTTGTTTTTTGATCAAATTGTTGGCTTTGCTTTAACTCCAACATTTCAAATGAATCTTAGAGAAGTTATAATTGAACTTTGATACAAAAAAATGAATTAAACATGTTTGAAACATTGAAGAAAAGTTGTAAAGCACATACTCAACTGATGTAAAGTTGCACATTGTAAAATAGTTTTGTCCTTCTCAGAATAAAGTTATATTTATTCAAATGAGTGATGTGTTTTCTTTGCTATAACAGGTGGTTATAATTCTGCATGCTGCTTAAACAGCACCTGAAGTCATGTTTGCAAAATGTTCAGCAAATGATGAAGTGTTTCATTGCATCCTTCCTTTTTCTAGAATAAGATAAGGAAGAGAGATTACAAATGTTTTTGAAGTTTGCTCTAAAATATACATTTCTGCTGTCACCACTAAGAGCATTTCTTTATTAGATGAAGCCCAGACAGTACTTTAGCACATTTGAATACATTTTGAAAGGAATATAACTTATTTATTTAATACAACTTTGCACTTTTTACACCATTACATTATTTAACAGCTTTAGTAAGTAAAAGACATCGATTAATATTACAATATATAATCAACAAATACATTATCTTTCATTCAATATATTAGATGTATTAATCCCTTGCTGAAATGTGCAAGATACCCAGCAGAGTGTGTAGTAAAGATTAGCTTCTACAATTACAATATTTTAATACAAAAACAGCATTTAATTTTTTACAATATTATAAAACTTATAATACTGAAAGGTATTTTTCTGCACTCTGGGTATATTTAGTTGCTAATACTTTAGGATTTAAATAAATATTTATATACAGGACCTTACCTTGTAACACAGTATTTATATACTGTGGTATTACTTCTTTTTTTCTGAAGTAAAGGATCTGAGTACTCACTTTGTTGTAATGAGCCAAATGCAAAACAAATAGGAAAACTCAGAAGCCAATTAAGCATTGCTAATCAGACCAATTAGAGGGGAAGAGAGTTCAAATAGGCATAAAATTACATTCACCTTCCGTGACCTAATTATACCCGGAGCCTCATCCGACCAGCTGCCAGGCCTACTTGTCAACTGGCTGCTGTGTGTGTGGCTGGGTAGTACATATCTGAGGGCTTTACATGAGATGGCCTTTGTTTTTTTTAAATCCAAAGTTTGGGATTTCATTTCCTTTAAATCATGTATTATTCAGAGCACACTTAAACAGAAAATTGCCATGATGTTTAAAATATTTGTTTACATTTTCTAATTGCTCAACTTGAACTGCAGTCTGGACACATTAATAACAGTATTGTTTTAAATTTCTTACAAAACCGGCAATTAAGTCCACACAGTGGAAATCAATAGAAGTGGCCCCCTATTTTTCTCAATGCTTCTTAATTATAAGCTTATCCACACTGCTCTTTTACATTAATCCTGTAATGATAATGAGATGTATCAAGTCAAAGCAACACATGCAGAGAAAATCCTTTTTTACACTTTCTCCCGTACTGAAACATACGCTTTGTGCCCTAATCTCCATTTCTCCATAAGGAGAGCTGGATTTACCAGGGTCCATGTTTCTGTCAGAGCAGACGGGTCACTCCTCAGTTGTGACATATGCCTTTTGACAGAGAGCATGTCTCAGACAAGCCAATCATGTGAGGGGTTGCACAAAAAAAGAATAGGGTGGAAGACACGGAAGGGCCGGGCAACGTCTGAGACGAGGCCCTCAGACAAGACAAGCAGCAGCTGGCAAACTACATCAATCTGTAATCAATGAACCAACTGGTAGATGGGATTATATGCCTAATTGCACAGCTAACCAGTCCATCCCAAAATGAGCAGACAGCATCAGCTTGTGTCCATGACCCAGTACCAGAGACGGGCATTATTCTCGGCCTCCGACAGTGATTAATCATTCATAACCTGCCTCTACAGCCAAGCTTTGGACTGTCAGGGACAGGAGCTCACAAAGGGTGACGCAACAACAGAGAAGACCCTCCAGCACGGATACAGAGTCTAAAAGTGCTCCATTAGAAGTCCTCCATTTACATTTCACTTAAATGACCAACACAAAAGTATAACTCAAAATGTATTTAACTTTCAAAAGTCATATATTTATTTTTTGTCTTTGTATTGTTTTATTATTATTGTTTATTATTTTTATTTAGTATTTATTTATTATTTATTTTAGTTTTGTCCTGTTAGTCTGTACAACACTCTCTTACATTTTGGCTACATGGTCTGTTTTGGTTATAACGCCTTCAAGTGAAGATCACCTATGTATGGCTAGTAGCTTTGAACTGTTCAATCTAACCTATCGATGTACCAAATGTCTTTTCTGTCTCTTCAAAGAAAGAAAAAGTACTTTTTTACAGTAGATATTGCAACATATTATTATTAATATTGATGCATTAATGTATAAACATTATTTAAATGACGATTGCTAATTTGCACTGTTGTGGATTTTATAAACACTGTCAAATAAAAAAAATTCTATGATAAAAAACGTTTGGTTGCCGTAATTGTATACGGTAAAAATGTTTCTATAAAAGTACATTTGTTAGGGTTATTACGGGTTAACGTCAGATTTTTATTCCACGTTTTACAGTGTAAACTGAAGTTTTTACCATTGTAATAAATCCTGTTGTGCCATAAAATGAACATACAATTATCATACATATTATATACACATATTATATTTAAATAACTTAAGATAATAGATTAACATAAAGGAGTAAAACTTTGAATATTGTACCCCAAAAGGCACTGGATTGGAAGGTATTCATGTTTATCAAAATACTACAAGTATTTCTTTTACTTAAAAAGTTCAGGAAATGATCGCAATCTTTTTCTCAGATAAACACAATTGAATGTGATCGAAATGAATGTTTTTGTGTTTCTGTGTTAGGACAGTAACCAGTCCCTCTTCTCACATCCATCCTCCTATTACAAAATGCAATGTCGGCAGATGGGAAGGACCGACAGACAAATTATTCTGTCTGCCTCATTTTTCTCGGACCACCACACAGATCAATTATTTATCTCACATGCGGTTCAAAGTACAAAAGGAACATTAATGCATCCCACATACTGTGATTCATTAGGACCCTCATAGTGGTGTATAAATGTGAACTTCATATTTCACCTGTTCACAAACTGCTCTCTAATCTCTGAGCAGTAATCTGTACACCATCTTGGTCCATATTGTCAGAGCCATAATCCCCTGATGTGCTTCTAAAGGCCCTCAGGTTATGGGCCACACTTCCACTTCTGTTGCCTCGGGCTAATCTCAGATTATCTTTATTTTCACATGCAGACCAGTGAAAGGCACTTCCTGATGTCTTATGTCATTAAATAAAACCTTAAGGACCTGATGCCAAGGGGCTTCCAAAAATGTTCCATCAAATGTATAAATAAATGTATTATTAAGTTGTAATTATTTCTGACACACATGACAGCTTAATGTATCAATGATATATGATCAATTGTATTAACATTCCCTTCAATAAATGTTACATTTTAGAACTTTTAAAATACTGAATTATGAAAATGTAAATAATGAACAAAAATAATAATTAAAACTTCCATTTTATTTTCTCTACTTATAATATATATATAAACATAGTAGGAGTGCTTAAACTGCATTATATGTAAGCAATTGTAGTTTTTTGTTAAATGTTGCAATAAAAATAAATAATTTGTTTATGTTTTTATTGTTATACAATAAGGTTGGAACATGTCAATCCCTTCTTTGACAAAGTAAAGTGAATTTTAAGAACAAATCAAAATAGCCTTGGTGTTTTTTTAATTTGCCAATTTAGAAGCATTGGTGTCGATTTCATGTAATAGCTAATAGCTGACTTTAATTGTATTACATAATTTGTTGATATTGTTTAATAAAAAAAAACTAATAAAGATTTAAATCATTAATAGTCCATTTTAAGATTTGTATAGAATAATGCATGTTTAACTGGTAAAAGCCCACACCCTAAGCCCTTTAAAAGTTGGTTTGCAAAATCAGCTGTGGTGAGTTGTGATACCAGATGGTAGATTTTGGTGTTTGTGACACATGGCCCTGAGTGAAGCCCCGGCCAGAGAGCCCAGCCCAAGATAATTGGAATTTCATTAAGGTTTTGTTTATGTGTGTGTGTGGGTGTACTGAATGTGCATATATGTGCTTGTGTGTGTGTGTGTGTGTGTGTGTGTGTGTGTGTGTGTGTGTGTGTGTGTGTGTGTGTGTGTGTGTGTGTGTGTGTGTGTGTGTGTGTGTGTGTGTGTGTGTGTGTGTGTGTGTGTGTTGGTGTGTGTGTGCTGAGAGTGGGTTATGAGTCTGCATGGGTGTGTTCCTCTATATGCAATATTAAGGATGGAAGGGGGTGGGGGGGGGGACTCCACCTGCTGCCACCTGTTCATCAGCTCCATCTTATAAAAGCTGCTCCCTCTCTGTCTCCAGGACCACAGACACCTTGGACTCTGCAGCCTGTCCACTATCTGGAGTTACACACATCTGAAAGGACACATTGAGGAGACCTGTGAGGAAGCCTGAAGCTGAAACTGGACACTAATACAACTTTGATTCTTCAACCAGAAACCATGAAGTCTAGGAGACCTAGCTGCAACGACTCCGGATCCGAGTCCTCGGAGGTAGACCCCCAGAGCCCGGAGAAGTACGAGACCTCCACGAAACGACGGATGGCTGCCAATGCCAGAGAGAGGAAGAGGATGGAGGGTTTGAACACAGCCTTCGACCGCTTGCGTAAAGTGGTCCCCCAGTGGGGCGAGGACAAGAAGCTATCCAAGTATGAAACCCTGCAGATGGCCCTCAGCTACATCCTGGCCCTCAACCGGATCCTGACAGACCCCAGGAGACACAACGCTCCTCAAAGGCAGTGGCGGGACCTGCAGTTGGACTGTGTGCAGCCTGAGAACTACGCCTGCCTCATGAGGTACGACGCTCCCGCTGAGCAGGACTACATCTCGTCCTTCTCCTATCAATTCGATGGACATCAGCTCCACGCATAAACTGCTGCCATTCGGCACACGACCAGTCATGTTGTTGGATGTGAGTGACAATGTGAAAAAGTCTCCTTCAATCAAGGAGACAGTAAATACATTTGTATTGCATTATTTTGTATTTATCTAGTTTTTGTATGATCAGAAAGAATTCTATTTCAGTCTTATTTATTTTTGCTAGAATAAACCCAGCAATGTTGAGCA